GGTTCACCTTTATCCCCCTTTGATTGATCATATAGCCAAAAAACTTGTACAAGGTAACCCCAAAAGCACATTTACTCGAGTTAAATCTCATATTATACTTTCTTAGTTTGTTGAAAGTTTCTCTGAGGTCTTCTAGATGCTTGGTCAAACTCTTACTTTTGGTTACCCATATCGTCTACATATACTTCCTTATTGTGATTGATCTGACCTTTGAATCTTTATTGACCAACCTCGTTAGGTCACCTTTGTATTTTTCAGTATGAATGATGTGATCTTATAGCAGTAAAAGCTTTTCTCAGTAATAAAGATTGTTTTATCTTAGTCTTTTTTTTAACATCTTGATCTAATTATAGTTGAAGTATGCATCCATGAAGTGAGGAGGTCGTGCCCAGCATTATCATCCACTATTTGATCTGTGTTAGGAAGAAGTTGTCTTTTAGACAAGCTTGATTTAGGTCAATAAAGTTCATGCACATCTTTCATTTTTCGCTATGCTTTTTTACCATAACCACATAAGCAATCCATTCAACATAGTAAACCTCATTGATAAAGCCAACTTATAATAATTTGTTGGCCTCTTCCTTAAAAGCCTATTGTCTTTATGGGATGAAAGTTCTTTTCTTTTGCTGAACTAGTTTGACCTCGAAATTAGTATGCAATATGTGGATCATTACTTTGGTATCAATCCCAGGCATATCGGATGGTGTTCAGGCAAACAAATTAGCATTTATCTTTTATAAGTTAAGTCAATTAGTCCTAATGCTGGAGCTTGGCTCCGATTTACACGTGTTTTTTAGAAGTATTGTTTTAGAACGAAATTATCAAGAGGTCTTTAGTTAGCTCGAGTCAATTTTCATCCAAGTTTGATTTTTAATTGATTATCTCTTTTAGTTCCATTAGGTTATGATCATTTCTTGCTAAAATAGGTCTCGACGTGATGATAATTATATTGAACAACTTATTAAGCGTATGAGTAGAAGTGAAGTGTACTCTTCATTTAATGTTGTGTTTTGGTCAGCATGTTAGCTTAGTCCAAGTAACATTAATTTTTTATGCAGGCTTAAGAGCTCGGTTACTTCTATTGTTGTCTTAAAAAATTTTAAAAATTTTAAAAATAGAATAAAGTTAAACTTCTGTAGAGTTTAAGAGCTCAGAGCGGCTTAAGAGCTCATTTTTGTGAGATCGACCTTATATTTTGTGCTCTCGTTGTAGATTTTTTGCTTTTTGTTAGCTTTTTGTGTTGATTTTTTTTTGTCTTCTACCTCAGTATTGATTGAGATGTTTGTCTGCTTCCCAATCCTACCTTTCATTGTTATAACATAACATTGTCATACTGTGGACTGGTCTCCCCAAACTTCTTTAACTCTTATAGGTGTTGGAAATTTCACTTTCAAGTAGGGAGTTGAACCTATGAGTAATATGACAAATTGGCTAGGTTTGCCTAATATCATGTTGTAGGCAAATGGGATATCTACCATCATGAACTCCATGACTGAAATGATCATTTTTGACTTCGTTCCTAAAGAGATTAAGAGTTTGATGTCTTTTACTGGCATCTATTCATTTTCAAACCCAACTAGTGTTGTGGTGATCGACTTCAACTGATATTCGCTGATCCTTATTTTCTTGAAATAACCATAGTACATAACTTTAGTCGAACTCTTATTGTCAAATAGGATTTTTTTGATCTCATAGTTGATACCAGGGCTGTAATCATTATGGCATCATCATGTGGTTGTTGGATCTCTTCAAGATCTTTCGAGCTAAACAAGATTAGCTCGTCTCTCTAGTCTTTTTCTTTCTTAACTGTGGTGTCTATCGCCATTACGAAACCTGGATTGAACTTTTTTTTTATCGATGTGGAGCTACTTTTGTGATCACATTAATTACCCCAACAATTGGCCTGCTATTGTCAATTTGACCTTTTTTCTAATACAATTCTTCTTTTTGAGCATCCCTTCTTCGTTGATCTAATCTTCCTTCTTTGCCTCAAGTGGGCATCTTGTGATCATTTTTGTAGTCCCTTCTAAATTGGTCTTGTCTTATCTACCCAATAAACTTTTTCAACTGACCTTGCCTAATAAGAGATTCAATCTCATTTTTCAAGTAGACATAGTTTTTTGTATTATGGCTGATGTCTTAGTGGAAAGCGCTTTTTTTTATCGGATCTCGCCTTGTATTCTAACTCAATGGCTTAGGCCATCTAAGGTCGAGATTTTTTTTTATTTACATCAACATCCTCTCATGAGAATTATTCAGTGCATTATAGCTTCTATCTCTACTAGGGCTTCTAGCCTTTTGTTGTCTCCCTTTTAAGGGAGGCTTGTAAAATTTTTTACCTTTTTTATGATCAAAGAAGAGGGATGAGGCTCTCTCACCTCAGTTTATTTTCATTGTAGCTTCAGCATTAATATATTTCTCTACTATTAGCAAAATGTTAGCCAAAATTTTTGGTGGCTTTAATGACAATGCTAACTTTAAGTGGTACTATTTATCATTGAGTCTATTGGTCAATGCAGCAATAGTGGCCATTTATTCTAAGTCTTTGACCTGTAGGGCTTCCGTGTTAAAACGTATATCATAACTTTTTAAAGTTTCATTTTGCCCTTGATGAATTGACATTAGGCTTAAGGTTGTTTTGTTAACTCTTTGGCTACTCATGAATCGAGACAAGAAAGAGTGGCTGAGCTTTTTAAAAGTGGTGATTGACCTTGACTCTAGACTATTATACCAAGACCGAGATGGGCCTTTCAAAGTGGTGGATAGACCCTTGCACATTTGAAACTCGTCTACCTCTTGTATCATTATGTTAGTTTTATAAAGTTCTAAATGATCAAAGGGGTCAGAAGTACCATCGTATGTCTTAAAAGTTAGTGTTTTGAATCCCTTAAGAGGCACGACTCTGTCAATCTCTTCAGTAAAGGGTGAGGTTTCCAAAAATCTAAGTTTGTCTTCAAATGCTACTGGCTTTGTTTTCAACTCTTTCTTCATGGCTTGCATTCAAGCTTTCAGATCTTTGTTTGGTTAGGGTTCATAGTCTGTTTATTTAGACTTTTGGGTTGTGGCATGTGTAGAATTGTAGCTGGGGCGGTGAGGGGTTAAATTGGTGTGCTCTTCTTCTCTAGAGGCCAAAAAGGCTTCTGCCTCTTCATAGCTATGCTGCCCAACAACAACTTTTCAACCCGGTATGACTAAGTCCAGAAGTTTGGAGAGTTGTGGTGGGGTTATAGTTTGGAGCATCTATTTTAGGGCTTGTATTTACTCAGTCAGGGCTTGAAATTACTCCATGGCTGGGCAGACAAAATGTTGACTTTGGTGAGTTTCTATTCCAGCCAAAATAGTTGTCTTTCCTTCCTTTTGGATTCTTATTTTGGGTGGCATTGTTTTGTGCTCGATTGTTATGAAAATGTTGGGTCCCCTACTTGGTGAGCCAAATGTTTGTAACGAGTTTCGACTTGAGGGCAATCCTATAAATACAGAAGAAAAGAATGGTTAAAGGCAAAAGTAGAGGGTGTTTTTTATGTTTCCACTCCGACGTGCAAGTCAATAATAGTCAAGTCAAAAAAGAGATGAGAAAGTAGAAATGAGAGAAAGGTATGAGTATTTTGAACTTGGCTTCATGGTGCCTGAGTTTTCGTATTTATATGTAAAGTGAGGGAAACGAAAAGGGAATAATTAAGACATGATCGAGCTGAGATAGTATTGGAGATGTTAGATTGATTTGATAAATTAGATCGATATAAATAACCAAGATACTCTTTATTATTTGCTAGAGATTAAGAAAAAAAAAGACCATTATGTTCTTTTGACCGCTCTATGCCCCTGATACTATGTTACTTCATGTTTGAATCATTGCCCGTTTAAAATGTGTAAAACTTTACTGCAAGAATCGATATATGCTTGCTTGCTGGCTCAGTAAATGACGACCAAAGATTTTCCAGTTTACATTGAGACAAATAATTCTTGCTTAAAGATTTGACATTAGGCACAAGGAACATAATTATTTTCCAAATCCAGATTAATTACACAAGAAACAAAAAGAAAAAAGAAATAACTGAAGCAACAAAGCAAAGCATGAAAGCATTAAACATTAAAAAATAAATAGCGACAGCCACAGGTTTTGTGTCGGTGTTTGGTGTTTGTATAAATAATCAAATGAAATGGTTTTTATTCCAAAACAAAAGTCAACATCAGACATTGTCTTGCATTTTATAGGTAATTGTAGTATAATATAAAAAAAGTGTTATTAATGTTCATCTCCCGCCTGCACCTTGGCAAATGGACCATGCATCATCCCGAGCATTTGTATAGAGTGAATGTATGGAAATGGAACCCAAGTTTGGTATTAGTGCAAATTACACACAAGACCTGGTCTGAAATAATCTAAATAGTTGTCTGAATATGCGAAAGTGATGTATTGGATTATATGCTAGCAGCAACGATTTGATCCCAATTATTAATGGAACCAACAAATGGCACAGTCCAATTATTAGTGTAATTAATTAAACAGGAATCTTCTTTTTTTTTAGGCCAGAGTAAACCTGAGGGGACGAAGTTGAAACGCTCTACTCTAAAAACAGATTCCTATCTTGTTCTGGTGGGTTTCTTCGTAGTTAGCCGCCAACAATGTTTCTTGCCTGCCTATGATTCCTACTAACCAATTGCAATCATGGTTGAAGCTTCATTTTTTTTCTTTAGTTTACAACACCAAAAAGGAAACCCTAAACGTATACATATGAAATACTGGGATATCTATATATATATATATATATATATATATAAGATAGAAATAATAAATAGGAACGGTAGTCCTTTCTTCCTTATAATTTCCTCTTTCCTCTCACCTCTTCCTGGTTCTTATACATGTACAAAATCTATTTTTGTCAAATTCATGCATGGTTTAAAGTACTTTGTTTTTTTTTTTTTTTTGTTGCTAACTAATATTAATGATTTTTTTTGGACAATTTTAATAATAAGTACATGTAATTTCTAGTTAATGCTTAAAACACAAATTAACCTTAATAAAAATATTATTTCTCTTTCATATGTGTACTCACTAGTGTTTCATAGTTTTTTATACTTAAAATGTAGTGCTACTTATCCATAAATAAATGTGTAGTGAAAATAATTAAAAAAAAAAAAGAGTTTCCATGATTTATCTGAAGTTAGTACTTGGTACTACGCAATTTTATTTCAGAATTGGACGACCGATTACCATTAATGTGTGTGTTTGTGTGTGATTGTGAGACGAGTCGAGGCTGGCTCTGCCATCTACGTAGTTTGGTGTTAGGCCGACCCAAACCCAAACCCAAACCCAATCCTCTGCCTCGACTATTTTCTTCCTTTGTATGGTAATATATTTTGTATATATGTATTTAAATAACAACTACGATTACAATAGAATTCAATTACTAGTAAATTCTCCAGTAATACTCTTCTCTCATCTCCATCTCCATTTCCATTAATTCAATCCTTGTTTTCTCTTCTCCACCTCCGTCTTTCCATAACCTCTGATCTGCCCAATTTACCTCTTTCAGATTTGCAGCCGATGCATCTGCCGGTAACTCTCTTTCTCTCTCTCTCTCTGAAACGGATCTCTGCCTCCGCATTTTCCTTTTCTTTCAAATTTCATCTTTTTTTTTTTTTCATATATATCTTGTTGTTTGCTAAATTAGGTTAAAATTTAATCTTTTCTTTCTTTTTTTTTTTAACTTTATATATATATAATTTTCATTTTCAGGTAATACTATCCCACTACTAATTCAGATAATTTCACTGCTTTCTGATTTATTACACCCGACAAACTAGTAAGTACTATATCTTTTTTGAGAAAAAAATTTTGTATTTTTTTCCTGTGTTGACAACTTAAGACGATGGATGGTTCGCTGGACACTCAACTGTTAAGCTGTTTATAATTTTTTTTTTTTTAAGAATTTTGTATTTGGTGAAAGGAAAGGAAAGGGAAGGAGCGAAAATGATAAACAAGCCACTTGTACTGACCTATCTCTACCTATTGATTTACGTTTTGCTTTCTTCCGGAGTTATATTGTACAACAAGGTACCATCTTTTTTCTATCTCTTGCTTCCTTTCCTTTTCATTGTATGTCAATTACTTTGACATTCTGCATTTTGCTTTCCTTGTTTTTTTTTTTTTGGGAATGGTTTCAATAATATCGTGTAAATAAAGCTGCTTTATTAAAAGATGATTGAGCTGCAAGTAAAGCAAACTATGAATTTTGTGTTTCATTTTCGGAGGGAACCATTCATCTACGTAATTTGCGATCTTCATTTTATTGCAGTGGGTTCTGTCTCCCAAATACTTCAATTTTCCATTTCCTATAACGCTGACAATGATTCACATGGCATTCTCGGGTCTCATTGCGTTTTTTCTTATCCGTGTCTTCAAGGTATGACATGCAACTATATTCATTTCCCCCCTTCATCTATTCTTCCTTCTCCCCGATATTGCTAAGTATACTAAGGAATTTCTTCATACTAAACTGGTGAATGCAGAACAACAGACTCCATCATTTCCAATCTCACCATTATATGCAAATAACTATAGGAATGAGAAGTTTGCCACAATCAGAAACTAAATATTGTTGTTGATGACGTTATCCTCTTTTCTTTGAGATAGTAGCTTCTCAAAGTATTGGAATTGGACTAAATAGGCCCTTTTTTTTTTCAGTGTGTATGTTACTACATAAGCAAAATCTAAAATTGAGAGCACTATCATCATATTTCTTTGCAAGGTTCATTTTCCATTGTTGTGCTTACTTGGTAATACATTTTCTTCTCCCTCGATCTCAACATGCAGGTTGTAGCTCCTGTCAAAATGACATTTGAAATGTAAGCGCATTTCTTTATCTGAAATTGCCATGATTATTCTCAATTATTGAATTGCTACAGTATCCATCTTCTCTTAAACAAATTTCCTTGGTGTTGCAGATATGCAACATGTGTAATACCCATAAGTGCCTTCTTTGCATCAAGTCTTTGGTAAGCACTTAACTGTCTTATATCTGAACTTGTTTGGTGTGTGATGTAGTATTTTCCTAATTAAGATGGTATGATTTCTCCTGTGTAATTAGTCATTTCTGTCCGTCACAAGCACAAGCATGCTGCTTGAAAACCTTTCTCATCATTACTGATTAACTTGTTACTCTGTATTGGTCATGCAGTAAGTAGCTTGAATCATAGTGCACCCTCCTTTCCTTTGTGATGTTTCAGAATGTTTTTGTTGTTTTTGGTGTGTTATTGTTCCAGAATGGATCTGTGCTTGTCTTTCCTACAATATGTTAAAAAGTTTCTGCATCCAAAGTAGTTAGGTTGACATTGATTTGTTAAAATTAGAAGTTAAATTTGAATCCAATAAACCTAGATGATTAGTTTTACACTTACACCTTTATTTTATTGAGTCTCCTAAAGGTTTCTGCTATAGACTGCAAATTGCTTAGGATATAGAGCTTGTTGTTTCTTGCTGTACAAAATTTTGACTGCTTTGTTTTATATTTCTTCCCTTTGTAGATATTGTTTGCATGTTCTAAACATCGTTTTTTCCTGTTGTTGATACAGGTTTGGTAACACTGCCTATTTGCATATATCTGTGGCTTTTATCCAGATGCTTAAAGCTCTAAGTATGTGGAAACAAAGTGCATCATTTGATATCATTGCATGAAATCAATCTCTAATTCCAATGACTGACTATTGGTGGTTTTGTGTTACAGTGCCAGTGGCAACATTTTCCATGGGTGTTATGTGTGGGACTGACAAACCAAGGTGCGATGTGTTCTTAAACATGGTGCTGGTCAGCGTCGGAGTTGTCATTTCCTCGTATGGGGAAATTCATTTTAATATAGTTGGCACAGTTTATCAGGTTACGGGCATCTTTGCAGAAGCTCTTAGGCTGGTCTTAACTCAAGTCCTCCTGCAAAAGAAGGGCTTGACTCTAAATCCGATTACCAGCTTATACTACATTGCACCATGCAGGTAAAGTATTATAAGTATACCCCCTTTCTTTTGTTTCTATTTTTATTTTTAGCGCCTGCAACTTGTACTTCTTTGAGGAAACCGGTTTTATCATATGAGTGGCATCCCTAGTATATAATCTTTAACGTTGGATATATGTACAATATATTGCTTAACTGATGTTTTATTGTACTGCTAGACAACAATGGGACAACATATGATCTTTTTTTTGTCTATTTTTTTTCAGTTTTGTATTTCTTTTTGTGCCTTGGTGTTTACTGGAGAAGCCTGGGATGGCAGTTTCACAGATACAGTTCAATTTTTGGATCTTCTTCTCCAATGCCCTTTGTGCTCTGGCTCTGAACGTGTCCATATTCTTAGTAATTGGAAGAACTGGAGCTGTCACCATCAGGGTGGCTGGTGTTCTAAAAGACTGGATACTGATTGCCCTTTCCACCGTTGTTTTTCCAGAGTCTACTATAACCGGGCTCAATATAATTGGTTATGCAATCGGTACTTCACTCAGTATCATGCCATTACATTGGTCTTTTTTTTCTCTTGTTTCTTTTTTGAGAAATTAATTTAATACAAACTCTTTTTGTTCTCTATCCAGCTCTCTGTGGTGTTGTCATGTATAATTACATAAAGGTTAAGGATGGTCGTGCTTCTCAGCTACCTACAGATAGTATTCCAGAGAGACTCACAAAGGTTAGTCTTCTTAAAAAATCCTTGATATCAAGACCTTGTCAACATATTGTTTTATTGCTTGGGAGTAGAACTTTGTATCTGAAAATTTTTACCTATTTTAATGAAAGATAATACTATAACTAGTAAACAAACTTGCAAAGTAAAATAAAATGCAGATCCAATATTGAGATGATGTCCAAGTTCTAGAATAATCATAAATATTAAGTCACACTTTATAAGGTTAGAAAGAGATAATGTGTGTCTTGTAGCATTCATGATCTCGTGTCTTTTTAATACAGGATTGGAAGTTGGAGAAGAAGTCATCAGACATATTCACCCCCATTAGCACCAGTGATACCAATGGAGGAAGCGGTGGAGGGAACTTCAATGGCTCGGAATTGAATGATGAAGAGGCGCCTCTACTTTCATCAAGGCTATCGCATATCGGACGTTCACAACTCAGCAACCATACTGCATGAGTTATGAAGGCTCTAGTGCACAACGGTGAATGATGGACAGCATACCATTTGGACAGAAAAGGAAATGCAAAACGGAGCCAGTTGACACGGACCCATCCTTCTAATTTAAAGGGAGATAGTTCTTTAGGAAGAGATTGATCTATTACACACTTAAAAGCAAAGAGCGATTTTATCGTAATTACTTTGATTTTTGTATCATGCATGCAAGATTATCACTCAGAGATTTGCGTAAATGGGTGACGAGATGAGCTTACGGTAATATAGCAGCTGATGCTTATTTGGATAGAACTGCATTCTTTGACCTCCGCTTACTGACATTGATATAACTCTTTTTGAATTCGCAAATGGTGGCAGTGTTATTATTATTATTATTATTATTATTACGTTCACGAAGTTAATAGTAATATGTACTCTTTTTGTTTTTCATTCAAAATAAAAAAGTATGCTCATGTCTACATGATTAAAATTCCAAGATGAGAAGAAAAAAGGAAAAAGAAAGGGAGAGGCAAGGCATATAAATTACCTGCATGGTTAACACTTCTGGTTGGGATACCAAAGATTGCATGCCTTCTAAGTTATGAGATGGAAATTCATACATGCATATTTTAAAAACAGAATACATCCCCCTCGAAGGGCTGTACATGTGGAATTCACATCAGAGTTGAGTTTGTTATTTCTAACACCACGACATATTCAAAAGTTTCATCGAAAGAAGCAGGGCATCTCATTCCAAATAATTCAATAACTGCTCCAACATGATTTACAAAGACAACCCTCAGGCAAGAAATCCATGATAAAAATTGGAGAGAGAAAAAAATCGATACATCCCTCAAAAGAACAGTACCTTTCGAAAATTCCCACTCTCATCCACTAGAGCATACGTGGAAACCTCTGCCTTGATTGAATTGACCAACTCTTTATTGCAGGTCCCTTAGATATAACAATCTCCTTGAAGGTGCTGGAGGTGCCAATCCAGGAATATCTCTGATATCTTTGTTGTTTGGATTGACAATCTGAAATTTTCCACGTTGCAATTACAAGATGGAAATTTTGCACAGTTCTATGACAAGCATTGCTAAGAATGCATGTAAATCTAAAGCATTGTTAGAATGCATGTGAATCTACTCTTTTTGTACTTAAAAGAACACAATTACTGAATTGCTTAGGTTTACTCCAAATAATTAATCATAGCTTGTTTTGACAAACATTTCTCAAATTGAAAGCTTCTATCCTGCCATACCACAAAAGAGATGGTAGTGCAGTTGAATGTGTTTATGACAAACAACCCTGGAGGTCAAGTACCCACAAATATTTTGTTTTTCAAAAGCTTCATTTTCAAATTATACACCAAACATGCCTCACAACTTCCACAGCAATAAGTCAGTAACTTTAACAGGCTACAAAAGTTGAAATCAATAAGCGAAAAGAATACCTTCACAACTATGATAGCTATAACACCGCAAACGATAAGAAATAGAAATAGCATGATGCATTTATCAGTGGCCACCTGGAGGGAGAAGAAAGATTTGTAAATATGGCAGAAAAATAGTCAAATGGAACAAAAGTTGCCTTTAGAATGTCAACAATCAACTAACCTGCCTACCAATCTCCTTCACCAGCTGGGATGCCTTTTTAATTGAGAACTGAATTGTATCCAGCTCATTTACAATACGGCCCATTTGTTCAGTCTGTATAACTTTCTATCAGTATATGCAACACAACTTGAAAAGAAAAAAAAAAAAAATCAAAGACCACTTAATCCGACTTACTTGACCCTTTAGGGTAACAGCAGTTTGGGTTCCTACTTCAACTGTTTGTTCAACAACCTATTAACCTCAAAGTAATGAAAACACCAAAAAAAAGAAAAAAAACACCGAAACAATTAAGCTGAAGCATGCACAATTGTACAGAAAGCTGTTTACCTTTTTTGTGCGTTCAATGGCCTGATCAGTCTCATCCATTGTTTTCATCCCATGATCAACAAGCTCTTGATTTGACATTGCTGTGGAGCAAGCCATGCAGTACTAAGATAATTTTATCCAAAAGTACAGATAAGCTCTATGTTGAGATTCTGTTGTTATAGCTTCATCATTTCCGTCAATATCATGGATTAGATTGAAATTTGATCAAAAAGCACAGATAAGCTCTATGTTGAGATTCTGTCGTTATAGCTTCCTCATTTTGGTCAATATCATGGATTAGATTGATTATGGTGTAGCATCCAAAGTCATGAATGCTTAGTAGCATTGTTCACAAACTTATGAGTCTACCATCCAACATTCTAAGAAGACTTCACATCCCAATTTCTAGACAGGAGTTGATTAACAATCCATATGGCATGATAAAATCCAAAATCAACTAAATCAGCATAACTATAATTGATACAAGATACTTGGTATTAGAATGTATTTACATATGTCAAATTAAAAAACCCCAAGAGAAGGTGACAAAAGCATACCCAACACTTTCATAACTAAGAGTCTTCGATCCCAAGTATATATGCTATATAGATCAAAACTCAATGGAAGGACAAAAGAAGTAGGTCTTACACGATGCCACTTTAACATTATCATCTGCTGTAGGGTCACTGACTCCAGCTCCCATATCAAAGAGTTCAATTTTCTTGTTACCATGGGTATTCATGTATCTGCAGTTATACACAAACAAAGCCATGAAAATTACATCAAAAAAGCCAATCTCATAGAAATTTACTGGCTAAATTCTATGACTCAAAAATGGTTTCATCCTACATTAGGAGTGGCAATTTTCAGACTAAGCTATTCTCCAAACTTCACAACTCAACTGGCACTATTCTAAATGAAAAATTGAACTTCAGAAGGCAAAACTTAAACTTCACCACTATTGCCTTTAAAATAGGCAAACTTACGTTTTCCTAAATGCCACATAGGAATTCAGTTCTTTGATCTGCAAAAGTAAGGTAAAAAGAAAACTTAGATTAGAAGCCATAAAGAAAATATATTAAGGGTGATAATTCTTCCACCAATAAACTACTACGACTACCTGTTTCATCCCCCTCCACCCACCAAAGGCATTCTACTTCCCCAAATTTATACATTTTAAGATGTGATCCTGAAAAGCATTTGATGATGCTACTAAAACCACTCTATCATGCATATGCCTTTTATTGCCAATAGTCAAGAAAAGTAAGGTTCAAAAAAGAACTTGCCATAGACTGCTTCTCATCATTGAGTTGCTTATTCACTTCAGGAGGATTTCTGCTTTCCTCATCTTTAATTTCACGATCAAACTCCTTGATTAATCTTTAACAACTCATTGAAGTTAAGATATAAGAATGTATAAATAAGAAGAATCAAATATGTCATTTACTCTTAACTTTATGTGAAAAATACAAAAGAAATGGCAGACCTTTTGCATTCCCTCATCTTGGCAGTGAGCTCTTCCAGCTGTTTGCTTTGCCTATTGGAATCTTTGATCTTATCCAGCCTCTGGAAGCCATTTCTGAAAGCAATTCATCATAGTTTTACAACATTTATCAAATTTAACGCTGGAAGGACAACCCTAAACAACAAAGTTGAAACCTTGTATCTTTTGAAGGTGTTAGAACTTCAAGTTACATGTGATAGGCTTTCATGGGATGCATAATTTGGAATTAAGAAACATTAGTGTGAAAGACTAAGTTCAGCTGAGCAGAGGTGGTAGACCCAACCTAAATGCAAGTAGCAAAACAAAGTGCTTTGGTTGGTTGTTTTGATTGCCTAAACAATGTTTACTAAGTTAGGTAAAGTTTCGTAGACATACGAAAGAGCACGAAAATTATCGCGAATTTCACCATGGATCTGCTCCAATTGAGGGCTCATCTGCAACTCCGTGGTGGCCATGTCGTCCGCAGATTCTTCAATTTCAATTCCCCAAACGTACTTCTCTTCTCCTCATGCAACCGCTTCACAAAATTCTACCATACCCACTCACTCCTTGACGCTCGATTTTTTCAGTTTTTTTTTTTTTTTTACAAACTCTCTTTATTTAAAAAAAAAAAGGAAATATTTTTAGGGTTACAAAGACCCAAAAAAGAAAGAAAAGGAGAGTATGACTAACGAGAAAAGGAACAAACGAAGCGTGGAACTGTAACCAAGAGAGAGAAATAAAGAACCATCGTCTGTCTGCTCTATTATGTGTGTAAACAAAATATTTGACTATCGCAAACTACGCACTCCCAAATAGGGTTAGCATCGGGTCGGGTTCGAGACAGATTTTGTTCGCCTCGAATTCGATTCGATTTAATGTTTAAAAAATTCGAATTTGATTTTATTTAAAATTTTTTTTGTTTTCTCATATCCGAATCGAATCCGACCCGACACTATATAAACTGTATCTGACCCGACCCGAAATTAATAAAATATTATTTTTTAAATATAAATATTTAAAAATATCATTATATAAATATATATAATTAAAAAATTAAAAAATTAATTAAAAAAATTATTTATATATATATCGGGTCGGGTTGTCTTCATGTTACCCGACCCGACCCGATCCACCCGATTTTCAAAAAAAAAAAAATTGACTCTAAAAAATCGGGTCGGATCGAAACCCGTCGGATACAAATTTTTTTGCCTTCCCTACTCCCAAAAAAATCAAAATAAAAAAAAATAAAAGGAATTCAGTCCGATCAATTTTGAACCGAGTTCACTTGAGTTTTTTTTTTTTTTTTTCAGAAAACTCGAGCTATGTATCAACTCCGATGGACGGATTTATTTATTTTAGCTAAGCATTTTTTAATGTGTCTACTTTTTAAAAATATTTGTTTTAGTAAGACGTTGGTACGAAGAATTAACAATGTATCTTTTGTATTCCTAGTATGAAATGAGATTTAAATTGTAAATTTTAATTAAAAAAAAAAATCCCAATATTACTATGACTTTTGTTTGTAGTAGTAAGTAACCATTTCCAATAATTTTACAAATAATAATAAGTAGATTGATTGAAGTAATGTAATGGTAATGGATATCAAACACTTTGTCCCACCTCGAGCTCAAATGACATATGATAACATTCATTTTCATTTGTTTTGTTAGCTTAAAAAATTTTACTAGTAGATTAGATTACATTTTTGAAGCTAACAAATCAAATAAAATGAATGTTATCATGCGTCTTCTGAATTCTGATATTAGGAGGTGAGATAGGTGTTTGATATTCATTAACATTTCATTACTTCAATTAAACTACTCATAAAAAGCATTAGGTTGATAGATAACTGTTAATCCAAGATGAAAGATGATGGAGAACTAGAAGAAAGTTGTTGTTAAAGACCAAAAAAAAGTCTTGCTCAAATCAAATCTAACTTCACCACCCTGTACTACCAGAAATCTTTACAGGAACACTCTCCATCTTTGAAATGGTGAAACCGATTCCTGTCCCTAACAATTATTTCACGATCAAAAACCTTTGAGATAAGCTTGCTAGCATGGTGACAGTCTTTACAAACTCTAAGATTTTTTGTGATGCGAAATGTTTCCCCTCGTTTAGTCTTCAACAACCCCAAGGCAATGGCAAGCTTCTCACTGTGATAGTATGAAGGATTCTCCCTCTCCTCCTCATCAACATCATGCATTACTCCTTCAGTACTGTCCGGAACACACCCAACTGATCTTATACATTCCAGCATCTCATCAACTTTGGCATATATCTCTTTAGTTTCGGGGTGCGCCCTTCCTCCAGCAATAAATTCATTAACAACACCTTCCAATTCAATGACAGAGAAGCCAGGAACCTTCTTCACTCCTCTGTCATTCATCATTCTCCTCACATTACCCACATCTTCCCATCTTCCGGCGGTGGCATATAGATTACCCAACAACACATAGCGTCCACTATTCTCTGGCTCCAGTTCAATTACTCTCTTTCCTATCTGGTCTCCCAACTCAATATTTCCATGGATCCTACAAGCCCCAAAAAGAGCACCTAGTACACTTACGTCAGGGCTCATGGGCATCTCATCAATTAATTTTTTTGCTTCATCTAGTAATCCAGCTCTTCCCAGCAAATCAATCATGCATCCGTAATGCTCCATTCTGTGTTCAATTCCATGAACTTCATTCATGTAAAGGAAGTAATAGCGGCCCTCCTCAACCAACCTTGAATGAGCACATGCACTAAGGATATTCACAAAGGTGATGTTATCGGGAGTCACTCCCTCCTTCTCCATTTCCTTGAAAAGTGCAATGGCAGCCTCTCCCTTTCCATGCATTCCAAAGCCCCCAATCATGCAATTCCATGAAGAAATCCCCTTAGAAGTCAGACCTTTAAAGGTTTCATAAGCTTTCTCCAAGCACCCGCATTTGCAGTACATATCGATAATAGTTGTAGCAAGTTTTGCGTCGAGTTCAATCCCACTGTTTTGTATATAACCATGTATCCATTTGCCTTGCTTAAGAGCTCCTAAACCTGTACATGCTGACAACATACTAGCTGCCACGAACTTATCCAGCATCACCTTCTCAGCCTTCATCCTATTAAACAAAGCAAAAGCCTCGTGGAAGCGGTTGCTCTGCACATAAGCAGCAATCATGACGTTCCAAGAAACGGAATTTCTATCCGGCATCAGCTCAAAAATCTCAAAAGCCCCGTCAACAAGACCCAATTGGGCATACCCACTTATCAAAGTGGTCCAAGAAACAACATTTCTTCTAGGCATCTTGTCGAAGACTCTCCTAGCATTTTCTAAAGCCCGAAAATTTACATACATATGAATCAAATTATTTAGACAAAACCCATCTGCAGCAAACCCGAGTTTGAAGACGAGGGCATGGATTTGGGTGCCTTCTTCAACGGCATTATCAATAGAACAAGCTCTTATAAGAGAAGGGAAGGTGAATTTATTAGGAAAAACAGAGTCATGCAACATTTGCAAGTAGAGAAGGATGCAGCGGGAAGGTTCTTGGCGTTGCAAGTAGCCTCTCAAGAGGATATTGTAAATGAAAGCATCAGGCTGAGGTAATATATCGAACATGTGCAGGGCATAGTCGAAATCTCCGTTTTCAGAAACGGCACAAAACTTGATGAGGCGGCCCATGGCATCATTGTCAGCGGAGAGGCCGAGTTTGATGAATTGGCCATGATGTTGCTTGAGGTGGGCCATGGAGGAGCATGTTTCCAGGACTTCAAGGGGTGAATAGGGTGGCTTTGATGAGGCAGCACAAGAGAGTGGAATGGCTTGAAGGAGCTGGCAATGGAATGAGCTCATATCTAAAAACCTAAATTATTGCTGCATTTGCATTTGACACTCGCAAAAAATTTCCTTTAAAGCAACTATCATCACTTAATAATCTTCTTTGATATTTCACGGTTCACACCACCAACCATCTCTATTTCTGTAATAATATTATTTATTATTTGTCAGTCTCAAACTGAAAGTCTCAAGGTCCACGTTTGGAGAACAGAGGCGAGGAGCAAGAAGAAGTCAGTTGTGGTTCATCTTGGACAGATTTTTTCCAAAAATTTTATCTAAATTTTTTCGGCTCAGCCTTACCTTTTACCCTTTAGGCCTTAATCTTAACCTTAAAAAAGGAGTGGGTATAGCCAAACGGGCCATAAACACAACAAACGGTTTTGGGCTTCTCTTCAACTTCAAGTGCCTTTTAATTTTATTAACGGATCAAACAGGTGAGTTTGTTTTACGTATGTATGTTGTTAAAATAAAAAGTTGGGATAAAGAAATAACATTATTCCTTTTAAATCTTATTTATCCAGAAACGAAAAATAAATTTGTAACATCATTCGGCCAAAAAAAATAATAATAATAAGTAGCATGCATGTCGACTTACAGACATGTATATGTTGAGAATTGTAAATAAAAAATGTCAAACAATTAGTAACACACTCAATTTATATTACAATTGAGTAATGATATTGATAATTTTTTGTTTTTACAAAGTTCAAAATTTGAAATAAGAAAAAGAGTTACATCTAATTGGATTTAAACTTTAAATTTATTATATGTTATTTTTTAGGGTAAATGCACGAGTTAATTGAATTAGATTTTATATTTTAACTTTTTTTTTAAATATTGATAATCCTTTTTATTTTTAAATACAGATTACTTTTTTTTATATCCTAACATATATATTGCCGTAAATAGTAAACAGCCATGAATATTTGATGAGTGGGGAATTGATTTCGGACAACTGCTGGAGTCCCTTTGATTCCGCTTCCTTGCATATTCAACTCCTTATCCAAGCCATAGGACCAAGGCCAGCTGCCCCTAAACTCGAACTTTGGAAGCCTTCCATTCCCCTATATAACTCCAATTGATGGCCTTTGCATGCACTTCCAATACTCCAGGAAACCAAGTCTCTGTTTCTTCCCATTGCCGGGTGGGTAATTACAACATTCATCAAAATTAATCAAAATGAAAGGAGTTGTTGTTGGGGGAGTCTCCATTATCCTTGTCGTAGGCGTATGCATTGGTCTTATAGCTAGTGTAGCCCACAAAAACAGCTCTGACAGTGAAAAAGATGTCTTGTCCACTACTTCCAAGTCTGTTGCAGCGATTTGCGCCCCAACCGATTTCAAGCAGGCTTGCGTTGATAGCCTCGGTGCACTGGCCAACAACGAGAGTGCAGTCCCAAAAGACTTTATTCAAGCAGCCATTCACGTCACCCTCCAGGAGCTGCAAGCAGCCTTCAACAAAACAGGATCGATATTTGGGGATGCTGTGAGTGATAAAACTATAAAAATGGCCAAAGATGATTGCGACGACTTGTTGCAATATGCTATCGACGAGCTACAAGCCTCCCTTTCAATGGTAGGCGATAGCGAATTGCATAACATGCAGGAAAGAGAGGCTGAGATCAAGAACTGGCTAAACGCTGTGATATCATTCCAAGAGTCGTGCGTGGATCAGGTCCCTCAGCCTCAACTACGGCAGCAATTGTCAGACGGTTTTCTAAATGCCTCTCAGCTAACCAGTAATGCCTTGGCCATTGTCAATTCCATTTCACAGATTTTAACTGCTTTCAATTTGACGTCGTTGAACTTTGGTGGTGAAAGCAATCGGCAACTGATGGATGAATCTAATCCTGATGATAAAAAATACCCTTCGTGGGTTTCCTCTTCTGACAGGAAGCTATTGGGAAGCCAAAACAATGCTCAGTTGACGCCTAATGCCGTAGTGGCTAAGGATGGTAGTGGCCAATACAAAACCATTGGTGATGCCCTTAAAGCATATCCAAAGAACCTGCAGGGAAGATACGTTATCTATGTTAAGGCTGGGATTTACGATGAGTATATTATAGTCGACAAGAATCAAGTTAACGTTTTCATGTATGGGGATGGCCCGCGGAAAACGATGGTGACCGGAAAAAGAAGCAACCGTGGCGGTTACACCACCACCGATACTGCCTCTTTTTGTAAGTACTTACATATTCCTTCCTTTTCCTTCAGCCAATCAGCTTTTCGTTTTCCATTCATTGAATCTTTTAGCTCCAAAAACCATTTATCCTCTATTAATTGTACATAGATTAGCCCTTGCTATAACAGATATAATATATATATATATATATATATTGCTGAATAACGAATTGAACTAGAGAAAAGTACTTTTAGTTTTAACTTGGATAGAAATCTTTATAGGTTCTTTATACTATGATCAATCCTGGAAATGAAATACCACGTAGTCTAAATATAAAAAAGATTGATTGTGTACAACAAATTTTAGTAATTACTTAACAGTCAACACAAAGCAAAAGGAGTTGCCATGTTTATGATGTTTTGGATCTGAGTTTCAGCTGCTATTGGAGATGGATTCATTGCAAAGGCGATGGGATTCCAGAACACTGCTGGACCTGAAGGACACCAGGCTGTGGCTCTCCGAGTCATATCAGATCGTGCAGTCTTTTACAACTGCAGGATGGATGGGTACCAAGACACCCTCTATGTTCAAGCCCATCGACAATTCTACAGGAATTGCGTCATATCTGGCACTGTTGACTTCATTTTTGGCGACTCTAGTACAATCATCCAAAACTCTAAACTCATTGTCAGGAAGCCCATGGACAACCAACAAAACCTCGTGACAGCTCATGGGCGTAAATTCCAACAAGAAACCACTGGTTTGGTTATCCAGAACTGCCACATTGTCCCAGAACAGGCACTTTTCCCAGTGAGATTCAAGGTTCCCTCTTATTTGGGTAGGCCATGGAAGGAATATTCAAGGACTGTTATCATGGAATCAACAATCGGGGATTTGATTCACCCAGCAGGGTGGCTTGAATGGGAAGGGAACTTTGCACTCGATACACTGTATTATGCTGAGTATGCAAACCGAGGTCCAGGTGCTGCAACTAATGGAAGAGTCAAATGGAAGGGATACAAGGTAATAACGAACAGAAATGAAGCTCTCCTATTCACAGCTGGTCCATTTCTTCAGGGACAGACGTGGTTGGCAGGCTCTGGTGCGCCTTTCTTCCTTGGCTTCCGGCAGTAAACTGTAAAGAGTTAACTCTTTGGCTCTTCGCACATGATCATCGAATGTTAACCTCAATCCAAACAAAAAATAAAGTCATGCAGAGAGGGCGAGAGGTAGGCCATTGGCCCGTTGTTTGTCACCCCTCCAGACATTGCATAGGCTCACTCATCTAGATGTAATATGCCGTTTTTTTTTGTATATTTATGTTATATGTTCTAGTCACGGCTTACCATACAAAGCAAATGTTCACTTTTCAAGCAGAAATTCATTCAAAAAATAAAAATAAAGAGATAAAATCTAGCCATCAAAGATCCGAGGCATTTGCCAAAACAACTGGGAAGTTCATCATACTCTGAACAGTTACTGCATCTCGCTACGGCTGAAAAACCAAAATACTGCACATTTAATGTAATTTTTGCCCAAAATCAAACTGAAATCAGCTGAACTTGTTCAAAATCTTGAATAGACAAAAACCAATCAAATTCCTGCTTAATTAGTAGCTAGAGCACGGATGCCCCCCATACCCCTACATAACAAGCTAAAAGTTCAAAAGCACCCTTCTTTCTTCCTTACTTTGTTTTGTTTTCCTTGGATCCCGTTTCTTCTTCCTTGGGTCAAAAACTTGTTTTCTAGTCGTTTTTTCAGTTCAAGATACGCTCTTTTATTACTTTGATTTACTCGTTATCCGTTTCGGTTGCTTTCTTATCGATTATGTGTTTGTTTTCATCATTTTAATTGGCTTTAGTTTACTGATTGATTGGTTTTATGGTTTTAGCTTCGATTCGAGAAATGATTAATCTCTTGAGCTTTGCTTGGTGGAAAGACTGAAAAGAAGTGAAAATGGAAGAGATCTTATGATTAAAATTCATAACTATTTTTCTACTTTGAAGCTTAACCAACGTAATAGCAAGTTTTCTACCAACGAGGCCCATGATGTTGATGTGAGTTTGACAGCTGATGTTGGGGATATTCTGCGCAAGGAAGGGCTTTGACTTCCATTCTCTCCTGCCGATCGCTACAATCCCAAAATATTTTTACTTCCTAATATTCACCGTCATTTCACTTTTACCTTTACCGAAAGGTTAGATTATCGCAAAACTCTCCCTCTCTCCCTCTCTCCCTCCATTCTCCAGTGCATATAGGTAAACATAGACGAACAAGCAACAGAAACAAACCTCCAATGCATATAGGTAAATACGTAGATAAACAAGAAACAGAAACAAACCTCCAATCCATACAGGTAAACATAGAAGCACAAGCAACAGAAGCAAACCTAGGAAAAGGATAATTATAAATGTTTTGATTTAGAAGTAGATGCCTTTGTAACAAAGGTTGCAAAACGATAACGAGCCCTTTACAATATTTAAAAAGATTTACTATGATGGTAAGTTAACAATCAAAGATCCATCCAGTAAAGGTTTATAACACTTACGCAGTGGAAAGCAATGCCTGCTTCCGTCTGACAATATAGCATGATAATAACTAAAGTGAGAGATAAGCCCTTATGTGCTATCACGATGCATTCGCATCAAGTGTTTAGGGTAAGAAGTTTGACACTTTTGCTGTAATCAGGTCAGGTGTTATTTCAGCGTTTAACTACTTGTTAAATAATCCAAATGACCAGATAAGCTTGATTTGCTAAAACAAAAAGTAGAGCATGGTGTCCAGAGAGTTTGGCTTTGGCATAAGAAGGGTTTAAGGTGAATTTAAAGAAAGAACAAAAAAGCAATAAGGCAAAGAAGAAAATGAAGAGAAACAATGGCCTTAATGAAAATACATACAGGGCAATACAGAAAGCCACATAAGAATAAAAACAAAAAGCTGAGTACAGAAAAAACAGGCTATTACCTTCCTAAATCATCTCTACAAATCCATGAACGGAACTACAGAAGGTAAAGGAAAACAAAGTAACCCAACAAAAGCAAACAATTAATGGAGATTATGGGAATGCTCAATGATCGATTAGGCATACCATGAGCGCTGTGTTGTCGCCGCAACTTGGGAATTGGAATGCGAGCATTGGCAGGAGAAACAGAATACAAACCATTATTTCCATTTTCAGGAAGAGGAGATGGAAGAGACAAGGCGTTGGTTTTGGGGTCAGCAATAGCAGCAGAAGCAGCAGCATCAACTTTGGATTTGGGTATGGGACGATTTCAAGTCTTTGTCCTTACGGGCCAAGAAGGCGAGTCTCTCGAGAGCCTCTTTGGCCCTTTTCTTTGTCAAAGTAGCCTCCTTGACCCTCCGCTCAGCCTCCACTCTAGCAACGGCCGCTGCTTTGGTCATGGAGGCAGCCGCAATCTTAGCAGCAGCAAGAAGAGCCTTAGCAGCCTCCTTGTCAATAACCCTCTTCATCAGGTTGGGGTCATGGTCGTTAGATCCTCCCTGATGATCAGGCGTTGACTTAGGTTTCTTATTGGAGGTGTTAGGGGTGACATTGAAGAAGGAGAAATTAGGGTTGGAGCAAGGGGGGCAGGTGAAGGAGGCTTGGGAGGAAGAGGAGGAGCAGGAGAGGTGAGAAATGGAGGGGCATTTGAGGCAGATGAGGCGCTGGTGAGAAGGAGGGGACTCGTTGAAAACTTCAAGGCAGATGGGACAGAATAAGCCCTGGTGGTTCTTCAGGACACAGTTCGTGCAGAGACGTCGGTAACTGGCTCTGTGACGGAGGTTGTGGAGGAGCAACCGCTCTGGAGCACCGCAGGCCCCGCATTCTGACTGCTGATCCCGCTTCATGTTTGCTTTGCAGCTTAACGGTGAATTTTAGGTTTTAGGGCGAACAATAAAATAGAATTGCAAAAGTGAAAAGTGCAGATAGAAGAGAGCGTGCGGCTCCGGCCTTCCTTGTTCCCAGGGGAAACTGATGTGAAAAGAGAGTGTAAGGATTTTAGAGCGTGGGCTCAAAGTTTGATTAGTTTATTTCTGCAGTGAAGTAGTGAACTTCTTTGGTTTTGGTTTTGGTTTCGGTGGCGTACACCTTTACCGAAACTGCGTGAATGTTTTTAATTACACTATTTTATTTACCAGTATTCTATTTCTACACTGAGCGGGGGCTGGGTGGGTAGTCTTTTAATAATAGTGGTGTACAAATTTTTAGAATTACTTGGCATGGAAAGAAAGGGCCAAGACCGAATGGGTATGAAGGAAAAGAAAAGAATTCACTGCGTTTTGGGAGAGGCCCAAGAGTTTTGGGTGGGTTTGCTGCTGCTGCGTTGTTTGAGTTTTGGGTGGGTTGGTTTTCCTAATAAATTTGTAGATGAGTGTCTTTAATATTACTTTATCCACTACTACTCATAATAAATATAAATCCTGTAAGTTACGGCAATTATAATACTACGACTACTGCTAGAACTAGTACCAGTAAAACGTATTCATTTTCTTCCATTTCCTGGTCTTCACCAAAATTTAGGGGATGATAACATTGCAAAATACAAACCCAATTGACTTTGACATTTTGAACAAACCCATTTCCTAGCCATAACCAGCTCAGTTGGATCAATAACAATTAACAATGCTTCTCATAGATGATTTCACCCCATTCAATTATTATTCTTTTCTCTTACATTATCATGTCAAAACAAAATATCTTCTTGGATGATAAATAAATAATATGCAAAAGCAGCAAACCATATCTAAATTCCCACAGAAAAATCAATGGTCAATTACTTCAAAATTCATACATCAAATTCAACCCAATAATGATTAATCTGCTACCATAAATGGATCTACATTCCCAAGATCAGCAACAAGAGGTTCTAAATCAGTTGCCTCCTCTTCTGTGGCAAAATGAGTTGGGAATGGAAGCAGTGAAACATCAGGTTTGTTGTAAACAGCATCCTTTATAAAAACGAAGTTTCCTGTGGCACCTGGGACCTGTAAAGAATAAGAGCTCTCTAAATGATACTGTTGATAAAAACTAAACAGAATGCAGATTAGATGTTAAAACTACTGATTCAATGTAATTTGTTCCCATCCTTTGCAATCACTTCTGAACAAACAAATAATAGGAAAACAACATCAAAGCATATACAAAGTACAGCTGACGATGTTAGTCCTTATTTTTTATGACAAACATTTGAAACTTGCAACCCTTTTGCAAAGGCTATAGCCTCCTGATTTCCATTAAAAAACTTGAGCACTTGAAATAAGAAAACCAAATTAGGAAAGAAAAACCATACCTGGCCTTTCACCCACATCAAATTCCTTGCTGGATCTATCTTGTAGACACACACATTTTTAACTGTTCTCTGCTTCCCACCCATGCGCCCAGGCATTTTTTTTCCTTTAAATACCTACATAATAATAACTGATTGTCAATTATAACTCAAGGGCACTCCGCATTGTAAAGACTGATAATCACATGGTTACAAGACTGCCATAATTTATTTGTTGTCCAATAATAAACCAAAAATTAAACCGGCCATATTATCACGTGCTTGACCTGGCTCCATACAAAATCACAATAAAGCCAAAAACATCAATTTGAACTTCTAAAAAGAAGTCCTGCATGCTACCCACCATTGATCAATGACTTCGTAATTGGGACTGAGAAGTAATTAACTACAGAGTTTGCAAAACTATTTTTTCCCCACAATTAACGACTTCAATCAAAAACATCTGCAAATGTCTATCAAGTGATACTTAGAATAGAAATATAGGTGTGCAAAAAAAAATGAAATATGCAGAACCAAATCACATTTTAAGAATGAATCAATCATACCAACAACATGGTCAAAGAAAGAATCCTGCAAGGAAGACAGTAATTTAGGCCCAATGATTTGTTTCCAACCATAAAGTTATTAGTTCAGAAAAAAAAATGCTTCAGTGAAAAGCATCACCGAAGAGTCTATCAAGTGATCCTCAGAATGGAAAGAGATGTTTAGGTAAAAAACAAATCATGTTACAGCGACTAATTAATGAAATGAACATGTCTGTCAAGGAAGCAATATAATATTGGCCTTCATAAATACAAAAGCTTAAGTTATAACAAGGAATCCATACATGAATAGGGAATAATTGATCACTTATCCCACTCTCTTTGCATTTATTCTTATCATGCTTAAACACCTAAAATGTTGCTCTATTTGTAATTGCTATGGTGAAAAAGAATGTCTGTTAGAATTCAAGATATTTGTATCATTAAAGCTTCAGGAGTTATCATCTTGACTGTACATAATATTCAAAAAAGTATCCACAGGCACATCTAGCAGTTAGAATATTCCCATTAACAAGACAAAGGACACACACACACACATATATATAGAGAGAGAGAGAGAAGTAGCAATAATTGAATTTCTCCCAGATCAAAACTATATATCTCATCATCCAACCACATCAATGCAATAAACAAGACAAAATACTAAACTTCTAAAGCACAAAGAGCATGAAGATGCCCCAAAGAGGATATCTTAACAGTTAATACTTGGGACTTCCACCCTGGAGGCTCAAGTACAAGGCTATTGCCTATTATGTAGCCCAAGGTCTAGCAGCTCTCTATATATACCAAAATAAGGAAAGACAAAGCAGATTAAATCAAACTAATGATCAAATATCGTATGCATACATTTTCCAGTATCATTAAGTGTTCCACAATATGCTTAACGCTTTGAAAATAAAAATAGCCATGCCAACCTTTCCAGGAGCATCCCTCTGCCCGGTAGAGCCAATACTGCGATGTGTTAATGATGTACCATGAGATGCAGGCATTCCTTTGAATCCCCATCTTTTCATTCCACCCTGGGCAAGCAAAAGAAATATAAGACATTTAATTGTTTAAGTCCCAAATGAATACTAACTTCATCATGTCTTAGAAAAGAGAGGAATTATAAGCCACAAACTTGCTCCATGTTTTTATATATTTTTATACCACTCCTCAACAAACACCTCATGTGCAAGGATTAGATAGAGTTTAGAGAATGAGAAAAATTGGCATGCACATGCTCAATGCATAAATTAACATCAGAAAATTAGCAATTCTTTCTGCACCATCAAAATTCAAAATCGTCATGCAGTAAATAGTTTTCAAAGCAGTCTAACTACAAATGCTAGCTCTATTAGTCTATACAAACAAATAGTTCAAGGATGGAAAACCTGCTAGTCCTACAAACAACTGAAAATGAATTCATCATTTTCATCATTAGGTGCTAACAAAGAATTATAAAAATGAATTCATCACTGAAAGCATGAAGAAATTGATGGAAACAATAAATCACCTGAAAACCTTTCCCTCTAGAGATTCCAGTAACATCTACATATTGCCCTGGAACAAAATGGCGAACACCAATGGCTGTACCAACAGGAAGAAGAGCATCTTCGGTTACAGGGAACTCCTTCAATTTCCTCTTCAAGGGAACACCTTGAGCTCTGAAATGACCCACTTGAGGCTTTGTCAAATGTTTTGCCTTCTTGTGGCCGCAGCCAATCTAAATAACACCACAAATTTAAGCACTTGAGTAAATGTCAGTCATGATTTGATTAACATACTTATAGACGGTTGCTGCGGTAGTAAAAAGAGCATGATTAAGTTAATCAGAATAATTAAAAAAAAAAAAAAGAATGTATCATGAATAGATATAATGAAGCAAAGAAAAGCAGTAGAATACCTGAAGGGAAAAGATTCCTTCCTTTTCAAAAGTCTTGACCTGAGAGACGATATTGTCATCAACCCAGAGGACGGTAATGGGAAGCCTAGCACCCCACTTGTCCCAAAGAGCAGACATGCCACATTTCACGGCAATGAGCCCAGTCCGCTTGGAGTTTGGAGTCATGATAGCGGGGGAGGCCTGGATGATGCGTGTCGGTTGTTGTTGGACGATCTGGGAGCCATCCAACAAGGCATCGGAGCTGAAGAATGTCCTAGTTAAAAGATGGAAGGAGAAGGGTGTTGGGGCTGCTGCAGATGATGAAGATGGGCTCGATAGGGAGACGAGGTGCTGGTGGAGACGAGAAATGAAGCCTCTGGATAAAAAGGCCGACATGGTTAATCAAACCATGAAAACCGTAACTAACGATGGACTTAATTAGTAGCTAGAGATTAAGGTTGCACCGTTGCAGAGGGAGTCCACGATGGTTATTGGGAAATTGGGCAAAGGTCGGAGCGGAGAGAAAGAATAGAGAACAGAGTAATTTTAAATAGTTCTACAAAGTTAGAATAGGTAGGGTATCTATGTGAACAGAGTTGAGCAAAGGAAAGGGCTTTGGTTGTTTGTTTGCTTCTCCTAGCCCTAGGGTTTTAGCTTTAGACATATTTTGGTGGGCCATTTAGGATCCAGTTGAGTCCGGCCCAGTTTTCAAATTTCCCATTGTCCAGTTTAACGTGGTAAACAGACAAAACTATCAAATACCGACTAGCTCTACTCAGCTCAGCCACGTAATTCTTTCTTAGTTAATCATTACAATTACGAATGAATATGAATATCAGCCACACACAGGCAGAAATACTGTAAATTTAATTTAATTGAAAGTTTTCTTTGATTGGATAATGCAATAATCAACCAATCTGCTGAAGCATGGTGGCGATAAGATCGATGGAGTTGCCGATCCCCAAATTCAGGGTGGTAGAATGCTACTCCAAGTCCCAACAGTTAGCACTCTCATCATCGTCATCATGTATCCCAAAGCAGCAGAAGTATCGGGCATTCATGTGCAGAGCATCAGCGGGGGCATCGAATGTGATGGCGACGGCGCTGGAGCAGACGGGTGGGAAGATGGTGGTGGAGCTAGTGGGAGCCTTCAACCAGCTTACCCAGGAGATCAACGTCTTGTCCAGTAGCTCCTCTCGCTTGCTCTTCAAGTCTCTCAAGCTCTCCATTCCCATCCTGCAGGCCTTGCCTCTCGCTCCCGATGGCCGCCCTCCTCTTTCTAAGGCCTTGTCTCTAGCTCTCCTTCTCGCCCATCTCCAGGTACCCACTCTCTATTCAATCAGAAATAAAAGAAAATGCACGGTAAATTGGGATAATATGGGCACATAAATATAACAGCAGTTTATTTTTGTATTGCCTTTTTAGGATGGTTATCATCTAAAATTTAAGATGATATCAGAGCATACGATGTATTAGTTTTCTTAGCTTCTCCTCCATTATAGGTGTGTTATGCTTCCTCACGCCGCATGTTAGGTCACGTGAAATACATACCAAATGATAGATCTGATGTTTCTACATCTGAGATTTCATACCAAATGATAGATATGTTGTTTCTGCATGTTAGGAAATTATGAATTAGAGATTAAAAAAAAATCTCACATCTAAATAGGCATAATTTGGGCTCCTAAATATAATATCACTTCACCTATTGCCAATTGGTTTGCATCAAATGTATAAACTATGCTATTTCTTTGTGGAATTTGTTGCTCCTTTACTACAACTACTATTCTTCCATTTGATAATTCCATAAATATATATATATATATATATATATAGAGAGAGAGAGAGAGAGAGAGACTGAAATGAGGTTTGAACTCCCTCTGCTCTAACGCTCTAACTAAATACTAAGGCATTAACCGAATACAAATGTTTCTGTTCTATTAAAAAAAAAATCTACGCTTTCTTTCTAATTAAGAAGCTCTACAACACTTTTCATATGCCATGTTACATGCAAAATCTTCAGCTTAATTTGCAAAATTAACCATGTTGCATTTACATTATATATGTCCTCTATATTTTTCACTTCTTAACGCTTGAAAATGGTTTCTGGCAATTTACCCCAATCAAAAAGCTTAGTGTACCCCAATCAAAAAGCTTAGTGTAAATCCTGCAACTTGCAAACTGATTGCAGATGGATGCGGAAGTTATTTCAGCTGGGCTACTCATCCACGTTCTGGAGGCTGGTGCCGTTTCCATCTATCAACTCAGAGATCGTATTGGTACTGGTACTGCCCATCTTTTGCATGAAAGCTTGCGCTTAAAGAATATCCCTTCCAAAGTCGAAGTTTTGGATGATGATAGTGCTGCTGCCCTAAGAAAATTCTGCCTTGCTTACTATGACATCAGGGCTCTCATTTTGGACCTTGCTCTTAAGCTTGATATGATGAGGCATCTTGATTACCTCCCAAGATATCAACAACAAATGCTTTCTCTTCAGGTTTTGAAGATATATGCCCCCTTAGCTCATGCTGTGGGAACCAACTACTTGTCGCTAGAGCTTGAGGATCTCTCTTTTCACTATCTCTTTCCTTATTCATACCTGTACATCGATACATGGCTACGGAGCCACGAGACTGGAAATAAATCTCTAATTGACATATACAAGGAACAGCTGCTCCAATCTTTAAAAGCCGATCCTATCTTAGCTGACATGGTTGATGATGTCTCTGTTAGTGGTCGCTATAAAAGCCGTTACAGCACAATGAAGAAGCTCTTGAGAGATGGCCGTAAGCCAGAAGAAGTAAATGATGTTCTAGGATTGCGAGTCATATTGAATCCTAGGTCTGGCATAGACATGTCGCAAGTAGATAAAAGAGCATGCTACAGGACACGTGAAATCATTCAATCATTATGGAAAGAAATTCCTTATAGAACAAAAGACTATATTGCGAGGCCCAAAGCAAATGGTTATAAGAGCTTACATATGGCAGTTGATGTGAGTGACAATGGAATGACTCGACCACTTATGGAAATACAAATCCGCACTACTGAAATGGAGATGTTGGCCACAGGTGGAACTGCATCTCATTCATTGTACAAGGGTGGCCTAACAGGTCCAGAAGAGGTCCGCACTCTCTTATTTGATTGAGATCAGTCTTAAATTCTACATTAGTGACTCAGCCTGGAAATAGTACGACTAATGCTTTCTTTTCTTTTAACTTTTGTTTAAAGCATTTGGCTATTTGTTTATTCTCAGGCAAAGAGACTAAAGGCCATAATGATTGCAGCAGCTGAACTTGCAGCACTTCGGCTTAAAGATTTTTCATCCACAAATCATAAAGTCCTTGAGTTTGGTCAAAGGGATGAAGTATTCCACCTTCTTGACAAGAATGGTGATGGTAAGATTAGCATTGAAGAACTAATGGAAGTTATGGAAGAGCTTGGTGCATCCGGGGAAGATGCCCGGGAGATGATGCAGCTCCTTGATTCAAACAGTGATGGTTCTCTAAGTACTGATGAATTTGATTTGTTCCAAAAACAGGTAAAGCACAAAGTAGTAAGAACATTTTCCTATACTGCTATCCTCTAGCCTGCTTTTTTCCTTTTGTGTGTCTGTCTGTTGGAGGGAGGGGGTGGTTATTATTTTTTAATGGAATCATCACTTGTTAGGTGTTTATGATTGCAAGGAATTAGGGTTTAATATGCACTGAACTTTGATAATTTTCTACCTTTTCCATGCTGACTCTCACGGAGAGAATTTTTTTCTTGGTAACTGCTTGAGCTGTTGTCATGGTATTTAAGATCTTGGTTACTGGTGTTCATGTTGAACTAATTCTGATGAAGTTTTACTCAATAACATAACTCGAGTTTGGCATTACTGGTTTATTATTATTACTGTTATTATTATTAGAGTGGTTCTTTAAATATCCACAGGTCGAATTTATGCGTAATTTAGAGGACAGAGATGTCCAATACAAGACCATGCTGAATGACAAGCTCCAAATAGCAGAGAACAGTGGCTTGATTGAGGTATATTGTAAAGAATTTGGTGACAGGCTTGCAAATTAGATCTGATTGAAACTTGAGTGATTGTTGGTAAGCTTTAATCATTTATATGCTGATTCAGTGCCACGTACGTAAATCATTCGGTTGTAATGTATATACTATATAGCATACTCAGAACTTTTGATCTCTCTAGAATTGTAATATTTTAGGAAAAGACGAAAACATGCCCTGTAATGCATAAATGTAAATGAAGCTGACTATGAATCTGTATGAGCAAACCCCTGTTATCAAATTCCTTCATCATATTATTGTAACTAAAAACTGAATAACAAACTCTGAATTGTAAGACTGCAAAAGAAGAAATCTGAGAAAAACGCTTCAAACATGATAGACGAAATGCAATCGTTACAGGATGTGCAATCTGTAGTGCATGGCTATCTATAAATCATGGGCATTGCTATGACTAATGTTTCTGACAGTGGAGTGCGATGAGGTAGCACAAGTCCTGCACTTCCCACTCTCTCCGTTGATTGTTTTAGCAAAGAAAAGATAATCTCATTTTTTTATTTGTTTGGATGCTCGGAGCATCAATTATAAGCAATGAAGGATATATAATAGAATAAAAATGCGGAGAGGGTAGAGAGGCAACTAATGTTTTCCTTGATAATATATATAGTCAGGTATGTACATGATTATACCATCAAAAATCAATGATAAGATGGGAATCATAAATAATATTGTATTACAACATACATAAAAATCTGATGAGATTTACTTACGTTGATGTTTAGGTAGATAACATATATTTTTAACACGTAAAATATTTTCAAATAATTTTATTAAATCAATTATTTAATTTTTAAAAATTTTAAAATTTCAAAATTTACATTTATCAAAATCGTTTCAAATATATAAGATTTATCTTAATTTAAATCTAATAAAATATATCTTCTCATATTTCACTCTTATCCAATTCAAATAATTTTTAAAGGTTAAATTTTTAAATTTTAAAAATAATAAAAAATTATACACCATCTAAATTAATATTCATATAAATTTAAATAAATAAAATTTATGGTTAAATTACTGTTATTTATCAATTTTTGTCTTTAATTTTTTATAATTTAAAATAAAAAAGAAAAATATTTTATCTCAATTCAAAATTACACATATATAAATTTAAAATTATACTAACTTCTTTTATCTTAATTTACAATTAAACTTAGATAAACTAAATTTTTAAAAATTTAGATTTTTTTAAATTAAATAATTATTAAATATATATTTATGTTTTTTTTCTCACAATCAATGTTTTTTTTTGTCAAAAAAATTTGACAAGGTAAAGTTTCAAACTTAAATATGAAAAAATCTTTCATGATATATCACATGTGTAAATATTGGTTTTTATACTAAAATAATATATGCTTTTAAAAAATTTATATAATTGTGAATAAAAGTTAATTTTTTCATTGATATTTGTATATAATTGTACTTTCATAATTTAAAACTTTCATAATGCTTATTTAGATTCTTTCATAATAATTTATATATTGATAATTTTTTTAATTTTAAACTAAAAATTATAAATGATTATGATTATTTTTATTTATATATAATATACAAATTAATATAAATTAAAATTTTAAACTATAAAAAAATATAATAAAAAAACTCCGTGCCAAAAAAACCAGTATTATTAGGATAGAGACAGGCCGATGATTGATGAGGAGTAAGATCTGTATATCTTTAACGCAAATTTTTTACAGATGGGCCGATTCTGTGTCTGCCTGCTCCAAGGCCCGTGCTTTGACCTCACAGTACTTGGGAATCATCATTTAGGTCTCGTCCATTGTTCCGTGGTGGGTAGTTATGACAACATCAACGCACACCAAGACTTGGATAGTAATGTACAATCAAGGACAGTAGACGCTCGTTAGTGACAGGATGGTACGGTTTTAGAAAAGAGTGATAAATATTAAATTAATCGTGTATTAAAGTTAATTTTAAAATATATTTATATTATTTTTAATTTATAATGTATATTTTATGAGATAAAATTATGAAATATTATATTAAAATAAATAATATCTCATAAATTAGTATAAATCATAACATTTAGTATCAAATTGATTTTGAGATACTAACGACGCTATTAGAGACAATAAAATTTGTTGGAATGGAGAATATATTATGATATTAGAGAGAAATCAGGAATTTCAAATCGATTATATATTAAAATCAATCTTAAGATATAAGTCTTCATATCACTTTTAATTTGAGAGACATTTTTTATGATATAAAATCATGAAGCTCAATTAATCGAAGCGAACAATAATTCATAAGTTTGTGTGGATCATGATACTAAATATATGACTAAAGAAATTTCCCCATTATTCATTAATTTCCATTTTTTTCATTTCTTAACGTCAAAAGGAGATTGAACTAGAAATTTAATCCAATAAGTTTATACAATCATTCTTCACTTTTAAGAGTAGACTTAGTAATTCGTATTATCGTGTCGTGTTTCATGTCAAATATAATTTCAGATACGACATGAATAATTTTGATACGAACACGATACAAGTACTTAAATGATACAAATAACTTAAATGTAAACATAACATGTTTATTATACGTGTTATATATGACATGACATGATTAATACATTTAAAATTAATTTATACTCAAATAACACGATACGATTAACACGATTATATATGAATAATACGATTAAACACGATTAATCAATTTATTTAAATAAAAAATATCATTTAAATTAGAATTTAAACAAAAAAAATTTAAAAATTGAATATTTATAATCTATTTAAACGTTAAAATGATACGATAAATACGATTATTAACTTATTTTTTAAATAAATTAAAATAAATTTTAAATTTTTTATGTTATGAATACTACTATATCTTAAACGTGTTATTACTGTTTAACACGAATATTTTTTAACCGCGTCGATACGATTAAAATATGAAACATGATTACATTAAACTCATATATATATATTTTTGTATTATACCATCATATCAGATTTAAAATTATTAAGTGTACTTAAGAGATCACATTTGAGTTTAAAATTCAAATTCTAACATCTACAATTTTTTATTTTATTTTTAATTTTTTTTGTTAAAAAAAAAACAAAAAAGAGGGGAGATCTTCAGCAAGCGAAATATGCAGAGTTTTACTAAATTTAATTTTATATTCATTAATCAATAAAACAAATTCCCCTATATATGAACATGCGGAAAGCATTATCTGTGGTATATAAAAAGGCTAGATTGCTGCTTCCTCCACATATCTGCGCAATTTGGACACATGTGCCTGTGAGTGTAACTTTAGTTTGATCTCTCTTTTCTGGAAACAACTATATCTGTACCATAAATAGACTATTATTATTAATTCTCTGTCAGGCTCAGATCTAACATCCTTTGAATGTTGCTAGAGCCAACCACACCAACTATCCTTCAAGCTTCGGTGGACAGTGGCCCTTGGCCCTTAGGGACGCCTAGGGTATTTGATAACTTTGTACATAACTGCAAGTATCACATCACATTGGAATTAAAACCGAGAATAAGATGACAGAATTGGATTGAGTGAAGGAAAGCCAGAAATAGTGTACCTGTCTATAAACTTTAGAATCACCATATGATTTTCTTAATTCAACTACATACAATGAAGGACTTATCTCAAACACCTGATATAATTACAAAGACTTCAATTAGTGGATTAAAAAAAGAAAAAGACTTCTTTTTGTTAATGGATTAACTATTGTCCAGGTTCACAAGGATCGACACAGTAGGGGGGGTGTGTGAGTTTCTATAGTGATAAATTGCTGACAACACACAATTTGAGTCAAAATTGACAACAAATTTGCTCAAAGTTTAGCAAAAGAATTACCTCAGCTGCAACTGAAAGACTGCCAAGACATTTCTGGCCTCTTTGTTCTTGTGTTGCTTTCAACTGATACAAAGGAGAATATAAGATTTTAGCACTATATGTTGTCATTATTATGAAGCATACCAGATCTCCTAAAAGCATGTTATAACCAAATGCAGGTATCAGCAGGTGTTTTGGCGTATGCAAAAGATGAAGGTATACAAACATTTTGTACCGGAAAAAACTTAATGTATTGCATTAAGCAACTCTAAAAAGTACTAACCCTTCCGTTGTTCATTTGGACACGAAATCCCATCTCTGTCACAATATGTTGAATCCTTGCAAGCAAATCTTTAGCCGAATGATTGGATGTAAATCTGATCTTCCTTTCAGAGACATCCTGCGCAAAACTTTAAAATCAGCTGTTCTGGAAAACTTGTGAATTGGGGTGATAAACTAGGGACTATGCTACATAAAAATTACACTAAAAAGGCGACGTTAATTTTGCGCTTACCTCCTTCTCAAAGAAACCGGAAAGGTCTAGGCATGAGGACATTCCTATCAACTGAAAAGCGTTAATAAGAGTGGGTGATTCCTGATTCCTAGTTCCATCAGATGCCTTCATCAAAATAATGCTTCCATCAGTTATGTTCAAAATTTAATCAAAGATAAAATTTTAGGAGGTCATACCAGTTCATACATTGAGAGGGCTTCATCATCAATGTATATATGTTCTTCCTCATCATCAGGTACTGCAGGAGTATAGTCTTGCTTGAACCATTCATCATCTTTAATACCCACCATTGTTATCCTGGTATCAGGGTTTGGATCAAGAATCCTTCTTATCATGTTCCGAGCACCAGATGATAACCATTTAGGAATCTGAGTATCCCCTTTGAAAATCTGAAATTTCGCAGGAGGATTAGACATTGGAGTTGATAAGAACAAAATTATTAAAAAATTGTCAGAGAAATCACTAAAAGCAGCCCTCAAGTACCTTCTGATAGAGAACTGCAAGGTTTCTATCATCGAAAGGAAGATAGCCGGTGAGAATTACATATAAGATGACCCCACATGACCAAATGTCTGAAGTGGCACCATCATAGCCTCTATTAGCGAGAATCTCCGGAGCCACATAGTTAGGACTTCCACATGTTGTATGCAGTAAGCCATCCTCCTGATATTGGAAAATGAATTTAAAAATAGAAGAAAATCTTTTTTTTTTAATGAATTTCTTGTTCAGAAGAGCACTTTACCCTAATATGTTGAGGCAATGCACTGAGGCCAAAATCAGATATCTTTATGTTCCCTTTTGCATCAATAAGAACATTTTCGAGCTGAAATATGGAAAACAGATTTTAGCATATATTAACAATATTATGGAAATAAGAGAAAAGGAAGACAAATTCATAATACATGTATTTTTGTGATTTATAACATTTATTTGTTGCTTTAACAAATCAAAGGATGTTTAGAGGTGATGAAAAGACCTTAAGATCTCTATGGAAAACACCTTTGTTGTGACAGTAACTAACACCATCAATTAACTGCTGGAAGAACTTTCTTCCTTCATCTTCTGAAAGCTTCCCTTTGGATGCCTGTGATAGAAAAACACCTAAGCAATGTAACTAATTTAATATTATTGCAGAAGGAACACTAGAACTTCAAGTCCCTTACAATTCTGTCAAACAATTCCCCCCCAGTTGCGTATTCTAGGACCATGTAAATCTTGGTTTTGCTTGCCATGACCTGCATGTTTGTTACAAGCGAATGCATCGTTAGAGCAATTCAGTAGCTGATATCGATTTAGCTAGAGACGAGCAAGCGCACGCATGCACACCGAAAAGCTACAACTCCAATGATCTGATCGTTATAATCATTATTTATAGCTTATTCATACTTGAATTATCATTAATTTGCTAATCTCGAGTCTCACTCCCTAAGGATAAAGAGGACGCTGATGAAACAACAACCCAGAACGTGTTGCTAAAAAGCTGGCCTACATTTATTGGGAGTTTGAGAAAGATTTAATTTGGTAAAACTAATAGTAGCTAAGAGTAGTTTGAATTGGTTATCAGTGGATAGAATGCAATTTCAAGCACAATGAATCCATTTATTTGCCCAAACAACTACCATGAATACAATGTATCCATTTGCACTACCTAGCTAATCCTTGTGCATGTTCTGGAATTTATTCTCATCTCTCTCTCTCTCTCTCTCTCGTTTTATTTGATAGAATATCTCATATATCTCTCAATTTTAGTTACCTAAAGTATGTGATTGGCTTGTGGGGTTCAATGACTCTGGGCCTGGAGCACAAAGTGTCAAAGACCATGGAAGAAGTAATGAGATCATGCAAAATTAAAAACATTTTCAATTAGCTAGCTTGTGTAGCGGGCCAAAAAAGCATATGAAATCCAGAAACTCACGCCGAAAAGCATGCACAAGTCATCGTAAGTCATGGCCAGCCAGAAATCGAAAGTACAAAGTCTAATCAGCGTGATTCAGTCAACTGATCATCTCCAAAAAATATATAATTCACGTCCATCAACATAAAAAAAAAAAAAGGTAAGACTGGAGGAATATTCCTTTGTCAGTCTTAACTTATTGGGAACCATGTTAAAAAACAAAAAAAGTAGGAGGATGGATGGAGTGACGGGGGATCTACATGATTTAAATATCATTAATTCTTGTACTATTTTAATTTTTACGAATATGAAAAGGCTGTGTAGAAAGAAATTAAGGACATGACAAGAATTTGGCTAATTGTGTCATCTGAGCGTGCTAAATCAATATTAGCCAACTTGACCAGCTGCCCACTTCTTATTTCCTATTTAGAAGTTAACGTAGAAAGGTCGTTGGGTGAGGATGGATATATCGTCACTGGCGCCCGCTTCCGTATCTCTCCCTCTCATAATGTAATAAATAATACCAAACCAACCAAATTTTTGATCCCTTGACACCGACTTCACGTGCAAAACTAAACCATGATGCAATGCAAGTCTGCCTTACACGTTGCTTAGTTTGATTGGGTCCTCAGTTTTGTAGCCAAAAACGACGAGAGTGACCATTGGTCTAATTTGGTTGCCAGTTGGGGGGCTTCCAATAAATGGTCAAGGCTTTTTACGAGTATGAATGTCGATGGACATGGTGTTATTGAATCCGACAAGTACGGATTTGATTGATTTCCAGTTACAAATTGCTGAAATTAGAAAATTTAAGTTGAAAAACAAAAAATAGGATTCCAATCCAATTATTAAGTTGAAAATAAAGCCACAAGAACAGGGGATTTTTGACCATATATTTTGCTTCTTCCACAATTGGTGCTACGCTGCGGATGAAATCCGGGATCACTATTCTTTTTCTTAAAAACCGACACAGAATTTGGGCTCAAAAGGATAAAGGAAAACAGAGATAAGTAATTAGCATCAATGGACGACAGGACAATTCAATAATAAGAGAAAGGCAGGCATACCTCATGTAACCGCACCACGTTAGGATGTCTGAGCAGCTTCAAGGTTGCGATTTCTCTCTTTATCTGTGAAATTATATTAATTGGTTTGAATTTAGAATTTGAAACGCATTGAAGTGGCTATGGGCAATTAATTACAATGGTTTTCGGAAGAATAGAAGAGGGAATCCCAGAAAGCAATCAGACAATACAAGCAGAAGCAACAAGGCACTTGCAGAAAGAGAAAGGAACAAACAACAGCCACAAAGGTAAAAAAAATGACATAAACCAACAATATTCACCCAGAGTAAAACAGGCTCCATGTGCACAAACATTAAAGAAAAGACTCCAATGCCGTTTAAGCAGAAAATGAATGAGGAGAAGAACACCCAGAACAGTAAAACGATATCACAACTTTTTTATTTAAGAAGAAAAAGGGATTAGTAGTTAAAAGAAAAGGAAGAAGAGGAACCTGATCGGTGATGTTGAGTTGAATGAGTTTGGACTTGTCAAGGATCTTAACAGCGAAAGGGAGACCGGAATGGAGGTTATTAGCCAACTTAACTTTGGCAAAATTTCCCTCTCCAAGAGTCCTTCCTAACTCGTAATTCCCCAATTGCAGAACTCCTTTCTCCTTCTTCTTCTCCTCTGTTCTCTTACTGCCCATTAACTCCTTATTTTATCTCTATAAATCAAAATCCGATGCGAAACTTAACCAAAACCACCAATCAAACAACTGATTCAATGTTAAACTCTTTATGTCTTGTCCCAGTGAAGAGATATAAACAAGACACGCAAAGAAAAGCAACTCACGGAGTTTGTTCGGCAATAAACAATCTCTCTCCCCCACGTATCTGATTTCTAATAGGACAGTCTAACGATAAAAAATAATTTATCGGGACTAAAAGGAGCATAAAATGACAAGACAATAAACGAGAGAGAAAGAGCGAGAATATTTTTGTAACTTATGAAACAATTAATGGGAATTAAAAGATATATAACATTTCATTTAAGTAATCCAAGTCAATAAAACTATTTAATAAATGAGTAAATTTATTGTTTTTGGGATACATGATAAGTAAGTATAACTATTGCATGTGAACCGTAGGAAAAATATTTTTATTAAATATTCTTTAATTTCTAACCATTACCTAATTTCGAAAACCCAATATATATATGTTGTTTTTTATTTATATCCAAATTTGGTCTCCAAGAGTGAATATAAGTTCAGAAACTTTGAATTCGATTTTTCAATAACAAGTTAAATAATAAAAGTTTGAAAATTCTTTAAGATGTTTGAATTTTTTAAAAATATTTACAAAATCACGCTTTTTATAATATAAAATTTTTATATATAATGTATTAAAAATATTTTCTATATTTTGAAATTTTAATTAATATATTTTTCAAATGAACTATTTATTAATATACATATTAAATTATTTCGTGTATCGCACGAATAATAAGTTAATTTATTTATAAAATATATTTTCTTCAATCAATTTACATATTTTAAAATAAAAAGTAAATTATATATTTGGTTACTCAACTATGATCCTATTTCTAAAATTATCAATAGACTATAAAAATTTTTAATTTAATCACTAAATTCGAAGTTTTTTTTTTTTTTTTTTTCAATTATTAATCTCTAATAATATGTTGATACGATAATATCGTGTTGATTGTTAGATGTCATTTGATATTATTAAATCAATAATTTTTTTTAATTTATAATCTCACATTAATAAAAGCACATAACATATCAAGTAATGTAATATGTCATGTGACATTTGACAACTAATAATGTATAGCCACATTAACACATTATTAAAAACTAATAATTGGGTGACAAAAAATTTACTCAAATTTTAATAACTAAATAAAAAATTTTAATAATTTAGTAATTATTTTAAAAATACAACCATAATTAAATAAGTAATATTATATTTCTTTTTTAACAAATAATAATAATACTAATAAAACTCTCTCAAAAAAGTAGTGAACACATGAACATCCAACAAGACATTCCTACATTGCGTCTCACAAATGCTTTCCACATATAAGGGAAGCTAACGCTAAAAGTAGTGGATAATATCTGCCAAATACTACTACTACAACAACTACTACATAATGAAGTGCAAAGATATTAGAAAAAAGAAATGGATGTAATTTATGTGGTGGAATTAGTTGAGTTGTTCTCTTAAATAATGACGTCAAAATTACTCCATCTTTCAACTTTTTACTAATTAATGCTAAATCAATAATTTCAACACATAACACAACCCTTACACTTCCTTCGTATTGACGATTTCATTTCTAGCAACTTTATATGCGAGCTTCTCTCTTTTCATTATTAATTTGCAGTAATGATATCATGATAACTTATTGAGTATTCTGTTTATTTAAAAAAAAAAAAAAAAAAAAAAAAACAAAAGCGATTATACCCTAAATCCTAGACCTTAAATAATAACAATTAGTAGTAACCTTAATTCTCTTGTATCCAAAGGAGGCTAAAAATATTGTGGATCGGTTCACATGTCATCCTTGACCTAAAACTTACTTTTGTTAAGCTTGTCAATTAATTATTAAAAGAAGATATGAAACCCGTTTTTTTTAACTTAATTACTTTGGAATAATATGTTATATTTATCTCACTTTGATAGACTAATCGCTAAAGTTATTATTTATCGAATTATATTAATTCATGTCAATTAATATTATGATACCATATCGTTATATATTTAAATTAATAGTATGATTATTATTAAGTGTGATTTAAATTTAATATTTAAGCTCATAAATGAGATGAGTTAATTTTAAAAAACATATTAGGAGAGATTCCTAGTCTTATCTTTATATATATGAGGTTGACTTATTAGACTATATAACTTCAGTTTTTGAAAACACATAACAGTTCTTTTTCCTTTTCTGTGTAGGTGGCTAATCGAAACTCAGAAGGTGATATCGAAAAGCATAGGATAGTGACAACATTTCTTTAGATTTCGATTAAGCAAAATTGAACTCTTATTTATATCCAAGTAAATTTTAATTTTAATTATAAATTATGTTAATAATTCGATGAACTTTGTGCCAAATCTAACATATTACATATCCAATTTTTTTTGTTATATATATATATATATATATATATGTATATATAAATGCATGTGCAATAGCTCTTGAGTTAACTGATATAAAAGATGCAAAAGTCAAATCTTTATCCGTATACACGAAAATCAGAAATTAAAGATAAGTTTATTTTTAAGTAAATAAAAGATAGTAAAAAAGTTACGCATCGTATTTATTATTGTTAGATATATATATATATATATATATGTATGTGTATGTGTCACGGACTCAAGGGGGAGTCCTGAATCCCACATCGAACATAATAGGAAGGTCACTGGGGTATAAAAAGGTTCACACCATCTCCGCCTTGTGAGGCACCTTTTGTAGGACAAAACCGTGAAGCCAGGGGGGCCAGAGCGGACAATACCTCACAAGGGTGTGAACCGTGACGGTCAGGCTGATCTGGGACGCCGGAAGGGTGAATGCCCGGGTCCCGGAGCCGCGCGGGTTCGGAGCTTAAGTCTCGACCCGTGACAAGTGGTATCAGAGCCAGCCATAAACCGTTCGATCCACGTCGAGCACCTCGAGGGAGGTAGGCAGGGTGGTCGGCCTCCGTGACGAGGGCGTCACGAGGTTGGGTGCGGGAGAATGTCACGGACCCAAGGGGGAGTCATGAATCCCACATCGAACATAATATGAAGGTCACTGGGGTATAAAAAGGTTCACACCGCCTCCGCCTTGTGAGGCGCCTTTTGTAGGACAAAACCGTGAAGCCAGGGGGGCCAGAGCGGACAATACCACACAAGGGTGTGAACCGTGGCGGTCAGGCTGATCTGAGAACGCCGGAAGGGTGAATGCCCGGGTCCCGGAGCCGCGGGGGATTCGGAGCTTAAGTCTCGACCCGTGACATATGCGTGTGTATGTGCATGTGTCACGGACCTAAAGGGGAGTCCTGAATCCCACATCGAACATAATAGGAAGGTCCTTGGGGTATAAAAGGGTTCACACCATCTCCGCCTTGTGAGGCGCCTTTTGTAGGACAAAACCGTGAGCTCAGGGGGGCCAGAGCGGACAATACCTCATAAGGGTGTGAACCGTGGCGAAAGGCTGATCTGGGATGCCGGAAGGGTGAATGCCTGGGTCTCGGAGCCGCACGGGTTCGGAGCTTGAGTCTCGACCCGTGACAAGTGGTATCAGAGCCAGCCCTAAACCGTTCGATCCACGCCGAGTGCCTCGAGGGAGGTAGGCAGGGTGGTCGGCTTTCGTGACGAGGGCGTCACGAGGTTGGGTGCGGGAGAATGTCACGGACCTAAGGGGGAGTCCTGAATCCCACATCGAACATAATAGGAAGGTCCCTGAGGTATAAAAGGGTTCACACCATCTCCGCCTTGTGAGGCACCTTTTGTAGGACAAAATCGTGAGGTCAGGGGGGGCCAGAGCGGACAATACCTCACAAGGGTGTGAACCGTGGCAGAAGGCTGATCTGGGACGTCGGAAGGGTGAATGCCCGGGTCCCGGAGCCGCGCGGGTTCGGAGCTTGAGTCTCGACCCGTGACAAGTGGTATCAGAGCCAGCCCTAAACCGTTCGATCCACGCCGAGCACCTCGAGGGAGGTAGGCAGGGTGGCCGACCTCCGTGACGAAGGCGTCACGAGGTTGGGTGCGGGAGAATGTCACGGACCTAAGGAAGAGTCCTGAATCCCACATCGAACATAATAGGAGGGTCCCTGGGGTATAAAAGGATTCACACCATCTCCGCCTTGTGAGATGCCTTTTGTAAGACAAAATCATGAGGCTAGGAGGGCCAGAGCGGACAATACCTCACAAGGGTGTGAACCGTGGCGGAGGCTGATCTGGGACGCCAGAAGGGTGAATGCCCGGGTTAATTTTTTCTTTTATGCAGACAACAACATTTAGGAGAGAAGTGAAAAGAAGAGGACAATTGCCAGTGCCATTCAATTTCTCTCTAATGTTCAAACCCATTTCCAAGTCTGTCCAGAACTGGGGTGGTTTGGAGAGAAATGCAACAAAAGCAAAAGCAAACAAGGATGTTTGGCACCACCACCACCATAGCAAAACTAATCGCTTCCCAAAAATCTTAACAATTAATATGTTCACTGATGCTTTACGCTTTAATTGCAAAATTTTGGATTACCAGAAGGTATTGTAATTTTAAGGCATAGATATGATAGTTTTAATTTACTTAAAATTAGAAGTAAATAAACATTCTATTTATTCTTTAAAATTTATATGATTGTATTTTTTTTATAGACATGTTAAATTTACACAAAATACAAAAATAATAAAAAAATACATGAAAATGATATAATTTAAAATTTTAATAAAAATTATATATGAATTTGACAAAAATTAAAAAAAAATCTTTGTATTTAGTATATTATACAAATTATGACACAAAAATTTGTGTATTTTATATTATTTGACACGAAATAGATATTATACGAATATGTAAATTATCATATCTAATTTTTGAATCACATTTTATCATTTCAAATTAGTTTACTTTAATTTTTTTTATATTGAACTGAGTTTATTCTGACTTTGAATGATATTAAAATTCATGTGATCAATTATATATTTGAAGAACAGACTAAATTTTATTTTAATAGCAAAAATCTATTTTTTCAACTCAGTGAATGAATGGACAATTTAGAGTGACAAATAGGCTAACTTAAATTATTATATATGTTACCCATAAGTTAAATTGAAAGTAAATGAATTGTTAGTGTTTATAATTAATATTTCTAATCATACAATTTAGAGTTATGACTTTGTCAAAGTAATTATAAAAATATAATTCACTGTGGAATTTTTAAAAAATGAAGATATTTCATTTTATTTGTAAGTAGAAATACTTTTACTTCTTTCTTATATACGTGGACAAAAAGCATTCACATGGTAAATAAAAAAGTACAATTTTTTTTTTTTTTATTTTCCATCAAAGGAGTCAACAACAAAATATGAACCTATTATTTGTTAAAATAGAATCAAAGAAAAATCCAAGAAATAAATACAGTACAACATATTTATGGATTGAGATTAAAATTTTTATTAGACTATACATCAATATTGCATTTTGTTATTGAACTTCAATTTAAACAAAATGTTATACTTTTAATCCTGTTGATTTTTTAACATAAAATAATTGAATCTTAAAAAATTTATCATTTGTAATAACGTCTTTCGTAAAATATTCTAATCCCGTTACTTTGTTTATATTTTATAATTAAGATTATGAAAAATTATATTTTAATTATTAAAATTAAAAATTTAATAATCTATCAGATCTATTAACTTTTAGACTTTACCTAACACCAATTAGCAAAGCCTTTTGTTAATGCAATTTCTGTTATGATGAAAGCCAAATAGGCAAACCACCTCGCACAGAGGTGAACAAATCTAATTTTCAGCAAAGAAAGAAGAAGAAAAGGAAGAGTTTTTTTGTTATATATATATATATATATATATATAAATGCATGTGCAATAGCGCTTGAGTTAACTGATATAAAAGATGCAAAAGTCAAATCTTTATCCGTGTACACGAAAATCAGAAATTAAAGATAAATTTATTTTTAAGTAAATAAAAGATCGTAAAAAAAATCACGCAACGTTATTATTGTTAGATATATATATGTGTGTGTGCGCATGTGTGTGCATGTGCGTGCATGTGTGTGAATATATGTATGTACGTGTGTGTACGTATATTTATTAAAATAGGAAGTAGAAAAATTAAGAATCTTAAATTTTAAGACATTGATTTTTCTTAAGAAGAAACTTGAAAAGAAAAGAAAATTCTAATGCGTGTAGTGTTAAATGACACAAGTGATAACAACAATAATAAATATTAATTTAAAATTTGTACAAACAACTTAGTTACATGGAAGAAGAAAAAGTCCTATATATTTAGACGTAACAAAAGTCAAAAACCATCTCGCCTCCTTTTATTTCATCACGCTTTTCCTCTCAATCATTCAACAAAACCATTTACTTCCATTCTCTCTCTCTCCAAAATTATTAGTTATATCATTGTTGCCATTTTTAACATTATATTTAATTAAAAACTTTAATTTATTAAAATAATATTAAATTCTTATTTTTAATAACAAACTTTAATTTTTAAAATATAAAATATATATATATATATATACGTAGCTATAAATATTGTACCCATGCATATATGCTCAATTAAATTTCTGATATATATTTTCTAATTACATGATTAGTAAGAATAATAATTAGAACTAAAGTGTTACAAATTAACAAGATCCAAAGTCGATGCATTCTAGTCTAGGTATATTAACGTTGATTTGATTGGAGGGTGTTGGAAGGGTCCATTCATAAGTAGGTGGAATAGTTAACACATGTTTTGAATTTAAAACATGTATTAGCCGCCTATCCCTCTTACTTTCCTATATACATATGGCAGTCGCCCATATGAAAAATGATTGATGATGAGTGGATGAAATATGTTCATCCAAAACTAGTGAGGATGAAAAAACATTCATCCATATCACAAGGCAAGAATGAAATAAAGGGAGAAAATGACCAACAAAACAAAAGAATAAAATATTTTTTGTGAACTCTTCGAAAAAATCTCATATTTTGATATTTAAAGACTGACACTATAAATAGTAAATAATTTTTTAATACGTTATCCTTAACCAATTATTTTTATTTTGACTAATGATGCTTTCAAATCTTTCACGTTATTTATGATATATATGATATATGATTTTGTTCGTACATTATTATATTATCCTTATGAAAGTCTAACAAATCTCAGCTCAAATTGACCTTGAAACAGTAACTGCTATTTCTGAAGTTTTGTTGGACGATTCACTTCTCTATTTCCAATTGCCAAGTTGTAATTTACATATTCTTTATCGCGTAAGATACAATCTTTCATTTTCTTTTCTTGGATATATGGGATTTAATTATTTAATCGATCCAAAGAGAGTAGTGAACATTAATCCGATGAATTACTATTCCTTCTCCTGCAACCTTTCAACCAGCAACACTGGCCCTTTGGATCATAAGTGGGTGTATATTTCTGACTTGTTCTGCTCCGATGAACAATATTCCATTCACTTTAGATACGGGTAAGTACATGCCATAAAACAAAGCACATGTGGTTCAGCCACCATTGTCGGGGAGCAAAAAATACAATACCTCACTCACCCCCAAGAAATTTCGTCCCTCCCTATTCTTCTTTCGCTTTCTATTCGTTGCGACAATTCCCAAACCATAAACTTGGAAACAGGAGGGCCTACCTGTACTGGCTTCTGGCTACTGCTTCGTTTAAGTTCCCCCTAATAAAACGACCCTTTCTTCCCTTGGGAGGCATTTTCCTCTTTATCATCAACATGGATCATGTCAAATGCCAATAGCAAATCCGTTTAACCAATCTCTTAAAACACTGATCACCTAACTTCAATAAAACACTTGAGGACCACACCACCTTGGGTACTTATTCTGTTGGCTTGGCTATTGCTGCAAGCTGTTGGTTTGTCTTGGATTACAAGATTATGGGCTTAACTCATGCTGATCTAAGCTAAAAAAACCATCACCCGGCCAGAGAGGAGTAATGGGCCTAATCGCCATTAGGCTTAATCCAAACAATTATTAAGCTTATAAATAGGTTTGAGAGTAGGATGGATGCTTCAACTAGAAATATTAGTATGGCGGAATGGCATACGGGTCTATGAGTCAAAGAGAAGAGGTAACGGTATTTGAATTGAAAAGAATTGTTCAGTGATTTGAATTGAAAAGTGGATCTCATTAATCCCTTAATCACTATCTTATCAAAACAAACAACCCCTCGGCATTGGCAACTCAGAGCTCCTCGTCATGGCATCGACCAGATATATTATCTTTGACTTCTTGGGATTTCCGCTTTGCAGACTCATAACTTGAAGTAACGGTGTCCTTGGCAGACTTTAAGGTCTCTTCAGCGTTGCTTTTGGCCGCATCATAGCCTTCTTTAGCTTCCTTCTTGGCCTTGCTTTTGGCAGCATCTTCTTCAGCTTTCTCCTTGGCCCAGCTCAGGCTCTCCTCTGTTTCTGCCTTCTTGGTTTCATCCATGGCACTCTCTGTTTTCTCTGCAGCTGCCTCCTTTGCTTGTTCGGCCTTCCAAGCTGCTTTTTCCTTGGCTTCATTCGTCAACTCACTTGTTGTATCTACCATGTCAGTGACTTTGTCCTTGGCTGAGATTGTAACCTCTCTAGCTGCATTGGATGTTGTGTCAGCCTTTTCTTTTGCCTCATTTGTTAATACACAGGCCTTCTCTATCGCTGCGTTTTTCATCTCAGCAGCCTTTTCCTTTGCCGCATTCTTCATATTACCGGCATTCTTAGAAGCTGTATTTTTCATATCCCTTGCCTTCTCTGCACTGTATTCGGCAGCTCCTGCCCAATTAAGGTTAATTAAACCAATAAGCATATTTCCGGGGCAGGGGGCAGTTTCTGCTTTGACATGCATTATATGTAAAACCTTCTATTGGACTCGCACTTACTGCTTTGTTTGAAAGCTATAATAACGATATATAATTAAAGACGATACTGTTGGTAATATTGACTCAAATCCCATAAAAGATTTGTTTGAGATTTGTTAGAGATTTGTTATTGCTTGATGGACAAGAAGACTTGCAAAAGAAGAATTTCAAGAGAAAGAGGATTCTTAATAGGTAAGTTTGATTTGCAAGAGAAGAATTCTAAAAAGAAAGAGATTATTAATAGGCAAGTTTGACTTACAGGAGAAGAATTCTAAGAGGAGAGTAATTCTTAATAGGCAAGTTTGTATGGTTATAAATAGGTGAAGTCTTTACAGGGTTAGGTATAAGAAAAAAGATGTAAGAGAGTTGTAGGGTTTTGTGAGATAGACACCCCATAGGAGTATTGGGACTCTATGAGACTCTATGACTTATGAGTGTGTATGTTTGTTTGTGAGTGGACTAAAAGAGACTGAGAGTGTCTACATAGGTATGATGTATGTGAGCATATGGGTATGTATTTGGTTATGTTGAAAGAGTGCACAAGGGTTTGGGTTTGTGTTTGTTTGGGTTGAGAATACTCTATAGGACTAGAGGAGATTGAGAGTGTCTTATGAGTATTGATTGTTGAGTGAGGTTGATGATTTGATGTATGTTTGTAATTCTCTACAACTAGTGGATCTTGTTTTTCATCCGTGGATGTAGGTCAGTTGGACCGAACCACGTTAAATTGTTATCTTTTGTGTGTTTGATTTACTGTTTGATTTCGCTTCCCCTGGTGTGATTGGATTGAAGGCTTTTAGCCCAACAAATGGTATCAAAGCTGTGGTGTTCCCCAACAAGTGGTATCAAAGCTGAAGGTTCGAAACATGAGAAAAGTTGAAGATTCAAGATATGGAAAGAGCTGAAAGTTCGAGATGTGGAAGAGCTGAAAGTTCGAGATGTGAGAAGAGCTAAAGGTTTAAGATATGGGAAGTGCATGGTTTGAGTCATGGGAAGAAGCAAGTTCAAAAGAGCTCGATTCAAGAGAAGAGTTCGAGTTTAAGTTTTGAATATTGAGGATTGGTTTGTATGAAGCGTGAAGACACAAGAGAAGAGAAGATGATTGTAAGACTTCCATTGCAGGTGGAGCCAAGCATGTCTAGCATGAAAACAGATGATTGATAGAATTTGAGTCAAGGTGGAGATTGTTGGAAATATTAACTCAAATCTCATAAGAGATTTGTTTGAGATTTGTTTGAGATTTGTTAGAGATTTGTTTGAGATTTGTCAGATATTGCTTGATGGACAAGAAGACTTGTAAAAGAAGAATTCCAAGAGAAAAAAAGATTCTTAATAGGTAAGTTTGACTTGCAAGAGAAGAATTCTAAAAGAAAAGATATTCTTAATAAGCAAGTTTGACTTACAGGAGAAGAATTCTAAGAGTAGAGGGATTTTTAATGGGCAAGTTTGTATGGTTATAAATAGGTGAAGTCTTTACAGGGTTAGGTATGAGAAAAAAGATATAAGAGAGTTAAAGAATAAGAAATTCACTCTTGACAGTAATATATGTTGTATATGTAAATCCTAGATGTGAAAATATGCGTAATTCGTTTATGAAATGAAAAAAAAGGAATATAGATGGAAAAAGGGGGGATAGGTTAGACGTAAAAAAAATCGATATGCTAAAATAAAATACGAAATGAAATAAGGGCTAATGAGATAGAAATAAGGAATCGTAAATAGAGTTCGGGTTCGAATTCCATAGATAATATGGATGGTATTGCCTATAATGATAGACAAATGAAAAACTCTCTCAAAATTGTTATTTATTTATCCACTTGATATTTTGCAAATAGGTTGGTTGAACTTAAAAATTCCTTCATTGAATAAGGAAACAATCCAATTGAATTGCATTTAATTGGATGGTACCAACGAAATCGAGTGCTAATCCCCATTTCTTATTGAATTGTAAGATTTTATGGGATAGACACCCATAGGAGTATTGAGATTCTACGTCTTATGAATGTGTATGTTTGTTTGTGAGTGGACTAGAAGAGACTGAGAGGGCCCACATAGGTATGATGTATGGGAGCATATGGATATATATTTGGTTATGTTGAAAGAGTGCACAAGAGTTTGGGTTTGTGTTTGTTTGGGTTGAGAATACTCTATAGGATTAGAGGAGATTGAGAGTGTCTTATGTGTATTAATTATTGAGTGAAGTTGATGATTTGATGTATGTTTGTAATTCTCTACAAGTAGTGGATCTTATTTCTCATCCGTGGATGTAGGTCAGTTGGATCGAACCACGTTAAATTGTTATCTCTTGTGTATTTGATTTATTGTTTGATTTTTCTTCCGTTGATGTGATTGGATTGAAAGCTTTTGACCCAACAAATACAGCAATGAAAATTAGGAGAAAAAAAAATAAAAGTAACCAGCAAGTAGCGCTAATCCAGTAAATGATCCATGCCACCCAATGGGAGCATTGCTCCACTCGTAAAATTCCAGCCCTCATCACGCTTTAAAGACGTAATTGTACTGAAATTATCAAGCAAACATGTCAAATAACCGCACATTAGGCAAACTCTAAAGTCGGATGTAAGTATTTTAATTAATTAACCTAAGGCCACGTCTTGGACCTTGTCCTTGGTCTTTGTGGCAGTGCCAACCACTGAATCAGAAGCTTTTCTAACAGAATCCTTAGGATCGTCTTGCTTAAACCCAAGTTACGCAGAGATCTTCTCCTTAGCCCACTCAGTCCACGACTCTGAGGACTCCCTGGCCTCTTTCCCCACCTCTGAAGCCATATCCTCGGCTTGTTTTTTCTTGCTCTTTACCTCTTTCGCAGCCTGCTGTGTCTCATCTTTCAGCTCATCCTTGGCTTGTTGCGTCTTGCTCTTCGTTCCTTGTTGCGTCTTGCCCTTTAAATTGAAATAGTCTATAACTTCCTCCTCTGTCGATGGCATGTGGTCAACACTTGTGCAGCTAAAACCGGCAACAGTCAGGACCACTACCGCCCCCAACAGAATGAAGAACCAACGAGGACATCGCCTGGAAGTCATGAATATGAGTCGAAGAAAAGCAACAAATTATATTCACAAAGTTCTTTCTTATATCTCAACAGTTTTTCTGTAAGAAGAAACCTTTTTTTTTTCCTTTTAGATGGCGAAGGATCAAGGAAAACTTCTTTTAAAGATAGTAAGCGTAGGAACAACTTGATCTTGGCCGTTTAATTTTAGGTGAAGCGGAGGTGACGGGATGAAAAATGATAGCTGTCCTGTAACGTGGCAAATTCAGACACATTTGAGGTTGGCAGGTGCCGCCATCAACATTCCAAGTGTCAGCTCCCTAGCTCTAATAACTGTAAACCAAACTAGAGCTTGTCTTATCACCGACGCCCAATCTTCGCATTGGTTACCAGGAAAGAAAATTGCAAAATCTCTTAAAAGGCATTATCATCCTAAATCATAAGTCATAACGGTAGTTAAAAATTGGCAATTTCCCCTTCTAGGTCATAATCTGCTTGACTTCTTGCATAGGTTGTCCAAATTTGCTCGGTTAATCAAGCTAAAGAGAAAGCACCTAAGAGCCAAACAAAGTAGTTTAGATTTACCTAACTGAGCAGTGGATTACAAGCAAATAACCTGCCGTGGACATTTCTGTTAATTATAAGTTCTAAGTATAAGAACTGCAAGGCAGCGTCTGGGAGCTTAATGCCCCTAACAAAACTACTCGCACTCATAAATCGAATGATTTAATAATGTAACGGTGCTTTCCTTAAGTTTCTGTTGCGACTTCTACAAGAAACAAGATAGCAAGCACTTTTGAAAAAAGTTCCTAAAATCGGCGAGATAATTGAAACTGTTTCAATTTTTAAATTAATCAATTCGAGTGAATACTCTCAGTTAAGGCACATAACAAGCCGTTTCAACCAAAGAATGTTACATGAACAAGTTAAACCTGCTCCCACTATTAGTCACCTCAACATGAAAATTAAAAGAAAAAAGAAACTAGAACTACTGTTCCCATATTTTACAAACAAAAGCAAACAGAGGGCGGTGAAAGAAGCTCCAAGAGAATGTTGTGTTGTTAACGCATGTGCTCACTATTGTCAGGTCAGAATGGTGATGAAAGGTCATGACACGAGTAGTGAAAGCACCCCAACTCCAAATATGCAACTGATTCGCAACAAAGAGCACATCTTCAGCAAGATTATCACCAAATCGTAGTGTAAAGTTCTTAAGTTCTGTAATAATTGGAGAAATAATTGGAGAGAATGCCTGCAAAGACCAGTGGATCACAGAGTTGTCTTAGCATGAATGCTGTCAATCCCGGAAATCACAATATTCGTATATGTGATATCAATTCTGTGCCATGCACATCAACAAGAACCAAATTGCGGAAAAGATACACCTGGTTATAAGCTTCTATTACATCTGGTTCCCAGGTAAAATGCATGGAAACTAAGAAACACAAAACCAAATACTAATTTTAACTACAAGAAATCTAGGTTCAAGCACCATGTCCTTTCCAAATTTTTTCCATCATCCAACCTTTCTTTCGATACAAGAGGGACTAAGGGAGTTCTGTGAATCAAACCTAGGATCTCTACTCAAATCCACCTCACCCTTACCATCCGGAATAAATGCATCTCTCTTAGATGCCAATTCTGTTTTCAAAGGGCAACTCATTAATTAAACTAAAACAGCAGCTGCAAATTAAAATGAAAGCAATAATCACCTTCTCTCGGGAAGCGACAAGAGCAATACAGATTTCGCTGCAACTTCAACAGATCTCATCATGATAGGCAGAATAAACAAATATGGCAAATCTTGCAGAATAGAAGGCAAATGTAGACCAAAGCATCACGCAATATGACAATACACAAATGAACTAAAGTCTATTTACGCTCAAGATCACCAGGAATACAAATACGCATTGCAGTTTGACAAACATGCCAACTTAATCATTCTGCTGCTAATATTTATGTAGGGAACACTCATAAACCAGGAATTCAAATTTCATAGACAAAAAAAAAAAAAAAAGGGAAAAACCCATAAACATTAGTCATGTTGGAGAAAAGCTGGATATGTCTATGTAAAGTTTATTTCATAAACTTAATTTTTCAAACTAACCCTGCCATGAAACAATCTCCAAATTAATGTCATTGCAGTTTCAGTAGGAGCATCCAATATTGGAAAAGAAGGGAAAAAGACAACAGAAGAAATGAAACACACGCAAAAGAAGGGAGCATAAAGTTTGGTGTTTCTTTTGGCCCAATATCCTTTGTTTTTGGAAAATTGGAAATTTATTTCATCATCCAATGAAACAGGGTAATGACTACTCGATGAGTTCTAGCTGATAAAAGGGACAACATAATTATTAGTCATATAAATTATATACTTCATTTTTTTTTTATCTATCCTTTGGCTTCTACTGAAGCATCCATTCATTCATCTGCCCCTAAGCAGGTTATCATGTGGAGCATAGCGTAGCAGAGCTCTTAACAAAGCAGTGTTGACTACGAGCAGGAACTATATCTTTACACAATAGACACAGTGTTGACTAGAACCAGAAACTATTCACAGAATAAGATTGTTTAGTGAAACATCCACTGATGATCATTGCTAGCGCCCAGAGTCTAGCTACCAGTCGCATGCTATAACACATGTCAGCCTAATTCTCAAATATTATCTAACTTTCTGCAGATAAGCATTATAAAAGACCCTCTTTGTTGGGTGAATCTTAGTACATGCTATCCAAACTTTAAGACATCACCCATAAAAAATGCCATGGATGATGGTGACAGACATAAAAGTAGAATCTGCTCCAAATAGTGTTAGAGGTGGCATCACAGAAAGACAAACAGGGAAGAGCAAGTCTAGATAGCCAACCAAAACTATTGAATCTTATATAGTTGGAAAGCCATGAAGAGTAGATGCCTACTCACAGCGTCCAGTGTCCTAACATCTACACTAGGATTCTTTGCATGTTTTCTTGTTGTGGCCAAGGCCCTTGCATTTGCTACATTGAAGCTGCCGTTTAATAATGTCTATTGATTCAGCCTGCTTCATCTTTGGCCGACCTGGTGGGCGTTTAGTTGGGGGAGGAGTTACAGCAACAGCTGCCTCAAGTAATTCATCCTGAACGGGTCTGTCTACATTTGGAACAGGATGAATGGACTCTGCATACGTTAGGTGGAAACTCTCCGTTGTGAAGTATCTGGAACAATAGTCATAAGGGCTTCTACTGATGCAATCAAAGACAGCAATAGCATGGCAGCAAGGCAAACCAGCAAGTTGCCAGCCCTTGCAGCTGCAGTCCCAATGGTCTATATTAACAACGTCAACAGATTCCCCACGAACTTCGAATATGCTACCATGTGTGAGTAACACTTGAAGTGACCTCGCCACCGCAGTTTCTTTCTGCAACTTTTCCTCATTACATGGAGTTAACTTTGTCAACCATTGACTGGAATCTACACGACGCTTGTAGATCGACTCCATCATCTTACCCCGCAATACATCAATCATCTGTGTTATAGGAAACTCATGTGCCTCTGATACCCAACTATAAAACTGCTGTCCAAAATTTGAGGTCATGTGGTTATACCTTGCTCCTTCAAAAAATGCATTTGCCCAGTGCTCTGGTTCACTTTGAATGACCCAGTTGTAAGCTTCAGGAGAAATGCCCTTTATATTTTCAGCAGAATGCTGGAAACCCTCAGGTCTTGGTGCATAAGCAGCAGCGTAAAAGTCATTGATCATAAACCGTCTTGCCTCATGAGAAAACTGCCCCTTTAAATCTCTATTAAGTTTCTCAGCAAGATGACGTAAACAATAGCTGTGGTAGCATTTATCAAATACATCAGCCAGTGCCCGCTTTAAACCATTCTGAAAATCTGCAACAAATGTTAACTGGCTAGATGTAGAAACTGCAGATTTCAGTTCCCTTAAAAACCAAGTCCAATTGTCCTCATTCTCAGCATCAACTACAGCAAAAGCTACAGGAAAAATACCATCCTCTGCATCTGCGGCAGTTGCAGCCAACAAGATTCCTTGGTATTTAGAATTTAAAGTAGTACTGTCAAGAAAAATGAGAGGCCGACAACCTTGTTGGAAACCAGATATTGAGGCATGAAATGAGACAAACAGACGATGGAAGCTTGAGTCATCCTTTGTAGTAAAGGTGACAATACTGCCCGGGTTAGTCTCCTTTATCTTCTCACAGAAAAAAGGTAAGAGATTATATGCCTCTTTATAGGAGCCTTGAAGCTGTTCCCTGGCAATCTCTTTTGCACGCCATGCCTGAGAATAGTTCAGTTGGATTCCATATTCTCGCCTGATGTCATCAGCAATATCTTTTGGCTTGTAGTTTGGGGAAACTTTCAATTTCTCCTTTATAATACTTCCCACCCAACCCCTTGTTGCCCGATACCCAGCTTTTACGGCAGCTCCCTCACATGTATGTTTTGTATTCATTTTCTTGATGCAAATCAACTGGGTCGTGGACAGTCTTGACGCATATATCCTCCAGGGACAGCCTTGAGATTTGCATTTGACAGTAACACGATGACTATCATTTTTCTTATACCTATAAGCAAACCCATGAGCAATTGAGTATTTATGCAAAGCTTCTCGGAATTCACTAAAACTACTAAATCTTTGGTCAACGCCAGTGATTGTATTCCCCCACTGCTGTGCAGCTTTATGATGGTTCTCATCAACAATATTAATGGGCATACAGTCTAAAGGATTTTCATCAGGCATTTCCATGCCAACTTGGTCAATGGTATTGGTCATCCCAACGGCTGCACTGACAGGAGCAACCATAGGAACCACAGCCTCAGAGACAGTTGTCCTGCTAGACCTGCACAATCAAGCAGCTGTAACAATGACAGAAAAAGCTGAATTTATATGGTAAATCTAGAAATAAGCAAGACTGAAGAGTAACTACCTACTAGCAGGCATGTTGGAAACATTACGAGCAGCAGCTTCCTCTGACATGATGAAGACATCAACGGTGGCAGAGTCTCCAAGAAAATTCAGCATGCGCTGCAAATCCTTGTCTTTGGATATGGTGATGAGGGTCTTCTTGTTGCCAGGGAGGAAGTACTTGATAGACATGTTATCAGAGCTAAAACTAAACATTTCTGCAATTTCAGACTTGAAATCACTTAACCGAGTTTGCTGATCAATGTCTACAGCATAGGCCTCACCACCATTATAAGACAATGAACCATCTTTATTGGTGACAAAATCACCCCCAGACTGACATATTGCTATAATTTTCTTTGCCGCCATGGCCTAACCATGAGAAACCAAATTATAACCAACGTATGAGAAACCAAATCAAGCACAACAAACTACATTAAAGAAATATGAAAAGTAGTAGTCTTTTTCTTTTTGCCACACACAAGAATTAAAAAAAAAAAAAAAGCATAAAATTCCAATATTAAAGCAGTAACCAAAGGAAGCTAAATAACTTTATCTGAGACTACAATCGAGAAACGGAAACACCAAACTAAGCCGAAAAGAAGGGGAAAAAATTGCATTGTTGCATTGGGAAGTAGAATTCAGAAACCCTAATATCTATGGAGTTTGAAAAAGAGAAAGATGATACCTTTATTGGAGAAACATGAGAAAGGCAGGATTTTAATTTTCTTTTGTTGAGAGATTGAATCCTCGAATTGGAATAGGAGAGGACAGGAGAAAGACCCACACCCAAAGCCAAGACCAATACCCTGAAGGAAGACAATCCGCAGCGTTTGCCGGCTTCCTAATTCAACCCTTTTGATTTGTTATTTATTTATTTATAGATGATGGACTTTTACCTAGTGCTTTTTGTTGTGCTGTAATTGTAAGTGCCATTTATCACCCAGGTTCCATTTTTTAAATTTATTTATAGTTAATAATATTTATGATAAATTTAATAAATTAATTAGTATAGTTTTATTTATAATTGTGTAATAAAAATAATGATGAGTGAAAATTTATTAATTAATTTGTGAATAATATATCTATTTTATTTTTATAATTTATATAATAAATCAAATTTAAATTTAACTTTTTTTTTTTTTATTTGGTAAGAAGGGTTCTTAGAATTTTTCTTGTACTTATGCCTAGCCTAGCAAATTCACGATAAAGTATCTTCTTATATTCTCCTAATGGATTCAAATCAAGGCTAATTAAAAAATATATATATTAAAATAGATAACCAAAAAACAAGAAAGTGAAAGTTAAAACTAAAATAAGAAAAGTCTAAGAAAATATAAAAAGAAATAAGATACCACGTACATACTGCCATTTAAGGATGGCAGTTGGTAAGATTTATTATACTCACCTCGATTTTGGAATACGATTCTAATAATTTAATTCAATTTCGACTCAAACTCAACTCTGAGTAATTATTTTTTATAATTAATTTCTTTGATATATACGTTTATAACTCACATTCAATTTGTATTAATCTAAAATTATTTAAATAATTTAAATTTAGTATAATGTTTGTTAAATTTTTTTAATATAAATTACATTTTAAGTCTATATAAATATAATATTTTTATTAAATTAAGATATTAAATAATAATTTTATTAATACAATATATATTAATATAAAATTAAAATAAATATTTTATATACCCAAGACAAGGTAAAATACACTAAACTTATCTCCAACCCAACCCTTATTTTTAAAACAAAAATACCTTGATCTAATCTTGAGTTAAAAAAATGCACCTATTGGATTAGACAAATTGAAACTTATTGGATACTTGTTATTTTATCATTCATATTTCTATTGATTTTTTCTTACAAAATATATCCCATTAAAAAAAATTAAAAAATAATAATAAAAAAAAAAAAAGAAAGCCAAATAGGTGCTGCATGGAGACACCATTGAACTCCAAAGTCTATAATGTATGCATTTCATTTTTATAATTTATATTACAAATCAAATTTAAATTCACTCTTTTCCGTACACATGCATTTTATATGATTTCAAAAATGTTATTCTTTGATAATATATGCAACAAGTGCTCCAATACCTGAATTTCAGGCTCGGTATTCTGCAAAAAGAAATGTTTACCACTACAAGATTTATAGTGACAGCATCATGGATCCATCTCAGCGTCAATATATTTGTCATAGTGTTTATGAACTTAATACTGCAAGCCATGAAGAGAAGCAGCAAAAAAAATTTATTAATGGAAAGCATGATTTCTCTCAGCTTTTGTTAATGCATCGCGTAATGATGGAGTGCCAATTATCCTGTGAAGACAATATTCCGTTTTGACGTCATTGAAATGGTAATTCTTGATCCTGAGATTAAGTAATGTTTCTTCTAAAATTGGTCAATTTTTCAACTTTAGCTTCCAGCTATCATGGATTTACTAATTCATTTCCATCCAGTTTTTTCTGTTATTTAACTTCAATTTTTGAAGAAATTAGGCTTTGAAACTGACCCTTCTACTGGCTTGTTGTTCAGGGAGCTGTTTTACAGCTGGAGTTTGAAGGTTCAGAATTTTTGTATAAAAAAGTTGGAAATTGTGGTAAACCGCAAATATAATTGAGTTCCGTGGCATGCTTGAATTAATGTTAACTAAGACTAATTTGCATTGTAAATTTTTTAAGCTCGTAGAGAAGAAAATTAACTAGATTTAGGAACTGAATCGTGATAGGTATGATATGAAAGCATAAGCATTTTTTTGGTTCTAACTTGTTAATTTTGTAGGTTGCTTTGTTGCTCCAAATTGGAAAGGAAGCAATTGCTCCTGATATAGTCCCAAAGATTTTGGCAACTCGAGATCGCAAAGAGCAGCTGGATAAATATCTCGTCTGCCCCACCACATGGGCTTTGCCTTGTGGCTGTCAAATACAATGAAAAGCGCCAACTGCATCCCGTAGGTTGCCCCACACCACAAACAAGCTTTGGTAGGAATCACACTGAGAGCAAATGTAAGCTTCCCTTTTATTAAAAAATTTCGACTCACAAGCAAAAGTTAGAAAAAATTTAAACAATTATTCAGCAAAGAAATGGATTGAGATTATCCAAGTTGTTTATGGTTTATGGGTGTCAACTTAAAGTTCATTCTATTGAATCCTGGTAGAACTTGCCAACAGCTGAAAATATCACAAAGGGGCTTCATTAGGGTGCCTTTACATTTTTGCTTGCATTTTTTAGATGTAGGATTTTGGTAGTCATCTGATTTTCCATTTGTTGAAAAAGGTCAAACCACCCTGGTTTCGTTTGCTCTGTTCTGAGCCCCTTCTTTTTCTTTTTCATTATCCCAAAAAAGGATCAGTTTCAAATTTAATGAAGCCGTGTACTCGAAGCACGAAAAAACTTGTTTGCCTGCTCTTGAACAGCAACTTCAGTTTACATACTTTTGGAATTCTCATTGAATCACCTTAATCATTCCCTTATTATTGCCAGCTCTAATATCCAAACAAAGGAAAGTATATAAAATCCATCGTGATATCAACTCACTTTAACCGGTAAAAGATGGTCAGGCGGTGTGAACGTATGTATCATCTCAAGGACCGGCTCCATACAGTTGGGTAGAGAAACTATATTAAATAGGTTGCAGAATGACGAGTTCAATACGAGGTCCGAGTTGACCACAAAATGCACAAAAACATTCAATGGGTAAGAGTTCAAACTCTGTTATTTACCAAAAAAAATCACAAAATGCACAATATGAAGAGCACTTTCATGTTGTACACCGGACCAGGTGATAACAGAATTTGAATAATCATTGCCTACCGTCCCTCCAAACTGGACAAAGCACCAACTTTCTTGCAGTGACTCAAAATATAAGTTCCATCCAATCAAAAAGCCGTAACAAAATGTAATTGCCCATGGAAATGGAACGTTTTTCTATCAAATTTGAGATTTTCTTTTTCTATTTGAATAGCTTTATTTCTTAGGGGCAGTTGACAATTTCTTGTTTTACGATTTTTAAAATTTTGAAAACAAAAAACATAATTAGTTAAATTATATTATTCCATAATTTCAAAAACTAAAAACATGAAACATGCTTGACGAGTCTAAATCTCTATTCTTTCTCCGTGTTTTCCTGGTAACATGTTCCAGAATGTTCTGGAAATTGTAGGTTGTTTCCTACCATTTTCAATTTTTTGTTGCCAGTTTTTACAATTTGAAATAACATCCTATCAAACACAATTTATGTTTTATGTTGCAATATTTTGAAAACAAAAACATAAAACACGAAATAAAATTAATCCCAAATGGACCCTTAATAACCATCCAAAGTACGACACCTGAAAATGTGAGAAAAATCCTTCAAATGAACAAAGGAACTATAAGATCCAATAATGGAGTTTCTAAACATACCCACCCAAGGGCACAAGGTTTATGTCTCGAAAAAACGAAGCTCTACCATGAATTCTTGATGCTTTGGGGAATACCAAGCAACAGCCTTTGCCGAACCAAGGACCTGCAATGCATATTCAATGGCAAACACTGGTTCATCAGCATGTATGTGCCAACCATTGTTCTTGAAATCGATCACAACTCCCGAGTCAACTCTAAAACTGAAAGGTCCAGCAATCTGTAAAATCCAAATAAAGAATTTTATAGTATGTCCCAAATAGAAACTTGTTGACAGCTATGAATCAGAAATCAGAAAATGCCTAAGAACATTGGTGACACTATTCAGAATTCAGTATTGGAAATCTCAATTTCACATCAACAAACAGTCAGAAATTTCTAGGACAACCAATGGCATTGAAAGCTATGCACAGCAGCGGATAAAGTCTTACCACCAAAAGAGTAAAAATATTTTGCTGAACAACTACATTGGCTTCAATTGCAACTCTTGTTAACATCCTAATTCAGTATGGCCAAAAAATATTTCAAAGACATACCTGCTGCTGAAGGGAAAGGGTGGTAGCAGGGCGGATCATTTTAACCGTTTCTGAAGTAGGCTGTTGCGAAATAAAAAAATCTTGAGCTAATTGTGCGGCACCTGAAAGAAATTTAGAACCAGAAGGAAAATCAAGGCGGAGATGAAATCTTGTAAGATCAGAAAATAGCCGCTGGAACTTCCCATGCTGGGCTGTAAATGAGAGGGATGCAAATATATCCCCTAGAAGAGCAGATTTTAGAGTTGGATTATGAAATGATAAGTATTTAATCTCTTCAGTATCTCTATATAATCTGACAGAATTTTCCCCAAAACTCGCAGTCAAAGCAGCACCTACACATAAAAAACAAGGAATTTTTTAGTATTTCCCAAGTGTTAAAATCATAAACATAGCATCATTCATGAGTTGAACAACAATTATGGTGCTAAAACAGGATGTCAAATATGTATAGCGATAACTGCTATAACTTTGTAACAATGGATTGACAATATGAAACAATTATCAACTAAAATGAAGTGATAACCATAGCACATGGAAAAAATCCCTCTCCACCATAAGCATCTAGGTCACCAACGATTGAGGGAGTTGACAGGGTACTTATGTTATATTTTACCAATTATTCCTGATGCTGAAACGTGGGGATCTGAAAGCAATATGTCATAAGGTTGAATCATCTTCAGTTTGGGAGCTTTACTTCTCCAAATGTCAACATTCTTCTTGTAAGAAAAGGCGCCTTTGACAGAAAAACCAGGAAGTATAGAAATAGGGATTTTAGCCATGTGACCATCTCCAAATTGCTTTGGTGAGCCATGATTGTGGTGCAAGCACAGATGATAACTTGGACCAGAATCAGAAGGTAGAGAAGCCAAATCAAGTGCCATGGAGAAGGGGACATCCCAGTAATTACCGGTCTCTTTGTCCACAAAGAGAGCAGGCCAAGCTACATCTAGCGTCAAATTATGATGTGGAAACTGCTAATGACCATATACAAAAGATTAGATTACCATAGAAGCGAGACATACATGCATTTATTAGTATATTATACTCGTAGGAAATAAGTAATCGGAGAAAAGCGAAAATAGCACTCGCCTTATGATGGAAAACTGCTTTCTTCCTGGGAGGGGTGTTGTTAGCATAATAGGAATCAGAGGTGAGAAGCAGAGTGTCATCAGAGGTTAATAAGAGCTCAGAAGAGAAGCCAAGAGCATACAAGGACTTGTCAAAAAGAAGCCTCCCAATGGATTTCAGGTCAAGCATATGCCTAGGCGTAGCTCCACCACTCCCCTGAAAAGAGGACAAAAACTTGCGCAGGTTGAACTGCCCCAGCAAAATACCGAACCAATTGTCAGTAAAAGGAATGGTGAAGACTCGCTGAATAGTCACGCCAAGGTGATTGGAATAGGAGGGAAGAAAAGGGGCGGCCATGAAGCGCTGCATAAAGTCGATCTGCTTGGGCCTGGAAAGTCTTGTGCCCCTTGACACTCCCAGCGGTAAAGCCTTTCCTGGTACTGCACGAGCTGCTCCCTCAAGGGTCCGGGGAGTGGAGGCGTCCAATTCCCAGAAGTCCCCGTCCATTGCCCATCGGAGCTTCTTCATTCTGCCCCAGCCAGATGAAAGTTATGACTTGACTCTCGAGCAGTTGGGGGAAGGAGAAATACTCGCACAGTAGTATACCATATGCTAATATGCTAGTTATAATACTTAATAATCTCCATCGGGCTCGGCCCCTTTTAATTCCGAATTTCCCCGTCTTCTCATGTGATTAAATTAATCACATTCACAGCTGAGCTGAGCTGAGCTGACCAGGTTTTCCTATTTTGGTTTAATTTGGTGGTTGTTTTCTTCTTAGCCAAACAAAACCATGATCACTAGATCGGCCTCGCTTTGTTCAGTGCTTAGTGCACAATGCAATGCTCATTCCTAGTAGTAGCAGTAGCATTTTGATAGTATTTGTTTTCTTTCTTTTTTCTTCCTTTTTCTATTACCGGCTGGTTTCCCTTCCCATCATCCCATGTTATGGCCGTTTCCTTCAACTAGTAATAATCAATATTTACTTGTGCTAGTCCTAGACAATTGTCTACTACCTTCTTCTTGGGTCTCTCTTAGTCTCAGATCAATCAATTATTTATCAATCGGTAAATGAGAGCCCTCCACTCAAATTAGTTTCCTCGTCATCGATAAATTGATGCCTAAAAAAATCTATTTAGGGACATGAAAAAATCAAAAATCTATTATCATGTTAACTAGTACTAAAACAATTTGAGTGGCACAGAGTTTAACAAATTCATCCCGGCTTCCACTAGCACAGATGGAAACAATTCTATTCTAGTGTCTGATTAGGACGGAAAAAACCACTCCAGCTTTTCCTAGAGCTAAAATTGATGCATAGCATCCAACATTGCTGGAGAGCCATTTGTGCCCGTGGACTTGCTGTATCCACTACTTCAAAAATACAGATGCTGCCTGAAATAGCCTATCCACAACACATCAGTCCTGTGAAGATCAAAGAAAGTCCACCATGATGCTGATCCAACTCCCTTTGCTGGAAAGAAATTATCCATAGCTTTCACTTGGATGCCAAGATCCACATCTCTTCGTTTCAAAGTTCATCTCATCTACCATTTAATGAATGAATATCTCCAAAAACGTGACAAAGCTAGTCACGCATTTTAGGGTTTAGCATGGAAAATGTCCAGCTGGCTGTTATTGCTTGTCCTGAATTTTCAGGGAGGTCAATTCACTCTGTTGCTGTTGATTTCTATACCGTGAACTGTTAGGGAACCATCTCCGAAGCCTCTCTGGCCAAAACCTGGTAAGGGATGCAAGCAGTCAACCTTTCACATCACCTAAAATAACAACTGCAACAGCAGCAATGCCAAAGATAAAAGAAACTAAGACAAAACAAATATTGGTATCTTTCTATCATATTTCCTAGCAGATATCCACTGCTTTAGAACCCAGAAGAGATGCCTATATCATTTCATAGTTAAGGTTTGCCTGCTATGTGGTCTCACATCTTCATCATATTCATAAACCAAGAGAAAATTGTCAACATGATTTCCAGCACCACATTGCTGCTTCAGCAATAAAAAAATGCAACAAATGGCACAGAATTCCAAAAATATGCGATTAAGTTCAATGTATTGAGTGGTCAAAATATATTCATATATATATATATATAATGAGAAGTCCTGACGGATCCTATTAATGAATGTATAATTTCTGAAGAAATATAAGAAATTCAGAACTTGCTACTTACAGTTAAAATCTTTCATAAATTGCCCGCCTTACTGAAGCGTTCAAACCGTATGCTATTGAGTTGAAAAGGACCTAAAATAAATAGATGGCAGTGACGAAATCAGTTTCTGAAAGAAACTTAATAACAAGGAACAACCACTTCATTGTTTACATGACACAAAATCAAATGTACTTAAGAGGATCAAACAAGTTATAGAAAGTAAAATTTGGTCCCCATCTTTTAAGATAATCAATCTCTTGAAGATTTTCCCACTTCTGAACAACCTGCAATCAAGCATTTGGTGCCTGGATAGATGCATTGGAGGTAGGGGAATATTTGTTTCACCCTCTCCCTTCAAAGATTTTCTCTGTGGCCATATCAATGTTACATAATTTGCTTAACCATTAAAATGATATATTTCATTTATCCACCCAAAATTTCGACCGAAAAAAACAGAAAAGAAAGATTGAGATATGGGCATATCATGATCCATTAATAATAATTTAGATAATAACCAAGGAAAAGTTTTCACCAAGACATGATCTTGAAACCTGGGTTGGTTTCCATAGTGGAATCAAAACAATCCATTTTAAACTGACCATTCCCAATCTTGCTCATAATATGCAGTGGGAAAAGCTTGTTTTGCAAGCGGCACTTAAATACTTAATTCCCATACCAACAAACACAATCACAGATACACACATACACATATACATATTATGAGTCAAACAAAAGTAGCAGTTCAATTTCTAAGTAATTACCATAAGTGTAGCTGTCCCAACATCAAGAAATGAGAGCCAAAAGATATTGTGGCCTGGCTCAATAAAACCGTGGATGCCATTGATTGTGCCAAATACCCATGATCCTATTAGGATCAATGGATAGTATCCCTACCTGTTCAAAGCTATAGGAAAAGGAAATCAACAGCAAAAGCTTACAAGGATAACTAGCTTCATTCAACTGCAACAGATTTTCTTCCTAAAGCTTAATTTAAATTAACATTGGTTAAAGGCAACAGAGGAAAGCAGCAGAAACTAGCTAATTCCAATGAATTATTACATTCCCACAGATTTGACAGGGAAATCTGGAAGACAGTAGAAAAGGCAGTAAAACAACCATGAAAGCGAAAAACAGCTAAGTCTGACTCCGTTCCAAACCAAGGAGCAAACCTTAAAAAGTGGAGCTTTACTAAGGTAGCAGTCTGAAAAGATGGCAATGGGCAAGTGTGTCATCAAGGATTCTGGTCTCTACATAATAGGAAATTTCTTTCAAGTAACAAAAGAAACCAAAAGGCAACAAGCACGACTTTCTCCAGGAAACAGAAGACATGTAAGCACCAGATTCATAGAAACAAATGAGGATTGCACTGGATAATGATCAAGGTAGAAAACAGCATAAATACATGAATTATGGGGCATTCAAGCAGTCAAAGCAACAGAAATAGCAAAGCTTCAGTTGATCCATAAGTCCCATATATTTAACTTTAAGCGTACCACATGCTCTGATGAAAGAATTAATTACCTTCGTGTCCGTCCTTGAATCAAACTGGTATGCACGATCTGACATGCCAACCGCCATCTAAAATTTCCAAAGATTGTACAAAAATGGCCTCAAAAGTTGCACAAATACATAGCAGCTTAAATTTATGATGATAGAAACAGATAATTGTGAACGTACATGAGCGGCATTGTTCTGCATGCGTATCACTTGAAAGTATGTAAAACCATTGTAAAGAATTGCACCCAATAGTGGGACATAAAATGTTATAAAGTGAACTGCCTGCATAGATATGCCAATCACATTAGAAAGTTCTACAATGCTAAGAAATCATGCTACTTTGTCAAAACTTTTTGTTAACCTCATCACTTCTATGCTCAAATAATATGTATAATAGAATATACAATACATGATTGTCAAGACACAGCAACTGAAAAGCTGCATTCAGAAAGGTAAAAAACAGGGCAAGGAAACATTAAAGCCTTACAGAAACCAGGTGGTTGAAGGAAAAGTTGAAATTTAGTAATTAAACAACAAATCTAAGTGGACAATCAGCCAGATAATGTTACTTGTCCCTTGCCTTTCCAGTGCAACCTGTTTGTGCCCAACACCATGCACTCAAATGCGTATGGTCATTACCAATAGAATGTATGACAGTCATAACCAGCGAAGTTCCTGCAGGAAGTAGTTAAAGTCCCATATAAAAGGCTGGTTGACAGCATTAAAGGAGGGGAAAGGAAGAAGAAAAGAAAATGGCAAGTGTAAACCACCATTGTAGATAAGTTTGAAGCAGTCAACAGAGTAGAAATGGAAACCGAAAACATAAGCATTGCGAGAAGGCTATAGAATTTGGTACGATGATAAAGAAGAAATGAATAATTGTAACAGAACATAGATGGACATACCCCAAACATACAAGTGAAAGATGGCCTCCAAATCTTCAACATCAGTTTTGTGTCTAACTACAGTTCGATGGAGGGTAAAAGCAATAGTTGTGGTCCAGAGGAAGGAAGCCACAAAGAAGAAATGTGTGGTGTAGCCCTAAGCGTAACAAAAGAAACCTTTTGACGGGTCTCTGCATGGAAAAAAGATTTATATAATGATTTTTTTTTTGTACGTGGGAATTCCCCAATTCCTAGTATAGAGGCATGGGAAATTGTTTGCAGGAGGAGGAAGCATACCGGACCATGTTAAAGAAACAGCAAAGCATGTCCTGCAGCGATCAAAAAAAGAGATGAAGAGAGAAAATGTGACAATTGTAAAGAAGTAGGAAAAAAAAAAAGATTTGTAGTCCGCAAAGCATTAGATCAGATACAGAGGTTTTATAGAAAAATATTGCAAAGTAAAGTAGCACAGTGATAATGGAACAAGACAAGTTTCCTAAATAATTCACTTTCGATGGCAAAAAAAGACAAGTTTCGTAAATTCCTATTTCCAGTTTATTAGATAGATATATTGGATCTTCAATCTTCATCTACATAAACGTGAATGAATTGAACAAGACAAGTTTCCTAAATTCCTAATTCCAGTTCATTAGATAGATATATTGGATCTTCAATCTTCATCTACATGAACATGATTGAATTGAACAAGACAAATTTCCTAAATTCCTAATTCTATACCTTTTGATTGTTGAACAAAACAATGCAAATGTACTAACTACTAGTAGTAACAATTTAGAAAAAAAAAAAAAAAAGAAAGATTACAGAGAGGTAGAGGTAGAAGACGAGCTTGAAGGAGAACTTGCGAAGTTCCTCGAAGAGGGAGTAGCAAAGCACAATGAATCCAGATCCTACGAACGATAGACTAGATGCTCCACTGTTCACCGCCGTCGATATTCGTCGATCGTGAATTGACAGCACCGTCGCTATTTTTCTTTTTTTTT